AAATCAAGTTGGGCGTAAGTTGCGTGCTGACTTCTGCTGACACGATGCACCGCTTGTAACCGCATGGAGCTGGTGGTAAAATCGAGTGCCCAACATGGCATCGGACGTCTGACGAAGGGCGTTGCTTACTCCTACACCTATTAGTACAGCCTCTAGTAAGGTCTCTCTTACCGGCAGCTCCTCTCTCGGGCTTCAACATTGCCTGGATCTGGTCCTCGCCCGTCATGTCGACCCTCAAAGAGCAGCTGCCATGGACGTTGTCACCGCTCATCGTCAACGCGCCCATGGCGGGCTTCGCAGGCGGTAAGCTCGCGTCAGCTGTGACACTCGCTGGTGGCCTCGGTATGATCGGGAGTCTACGCAGCATGGACGACTTGCGGAAAGAGTTGGATATCGCGACCGAAGCTTTCAAGGACAGTCCTAAATTATCGGCGTCGCGTGTTCTCCCAGTTGGCGTCGGCTTCCTTCCCTTTGTGCTCAAACTCGAAGACATTCTTCCGGTGTTCGATGGCTACAAGCCCGCGGTCATCTGGTTGTTCGTGCCGAAAGATCTGGTCGACTACGCGGAATGGGTACCAGCGATACGCAAGGCTTCACCCGAGAGCAAGATTTGGATTCAACTCGGTAGCGTCGCAGCGGCTCTTCACGTTGCGAGGATAGCGCGACCAGACGTGCTGTGTCTCCAGGGCGCAGACGCCGGTGGTCACGGCTTCGAGAAAGGCGCAAGCATCGTCTCGCTACTACCGGAGGTGACCGACGCGCTCGCTGCGGAAGGCTTCTCACACATACCTCTCGTCGCCTCAGGTGGTATCGTCGACGGACGCGGTGTTGCTGCAGCACTCACCCTCGGTGCCGAAGGCGTCGTGATGGGAACGCGTTTCCTCGCTTCTAAAGAGGTGAACGTCCATCCGATGTACCAAGCCGCAGTCCTAGAGGCACAAGATGGCGGTCAGGTGACGACGCGTTCGAAACTATTCGATCAGTTGCGCGGCCCCAACGTCTGGCCGGAGCTGTATGATGGGCGCGGATTGGTGGCACAGAGCCACAAGGACTTTGCGAACGGCATGAGCCTCGAAGATATACAAAAGTTGCACAATGAGGCCGCTGCAGATGAAGATAAGGGATACAGTACGGGGTTGCGAGGACGCGCAGCAATTTGGGCTGGCACTGGTGTGGGGTTGGTGAAGGAAGTGCAAAGCGCGGGCGAGATTGTACAGAAGGTGCGGGAAGGTGCGAAAGATTTCATGGTCAGGGCGGTAGCGAGACTATGAGAGCATTGTTGTTTACATTGAGTCACGCCAAGAAAGTGAAAGTGAACGCGACTGCGACGGGAAGGAGCGATCATTGACCTCCGATGACGTCACGTGTTTGGTCGCAAACTTTGGGGACCTTGAAACTCCCCAGGTGCACGGCAACGAAACATTGGATTTGTTGTGTTGCAGGGCGTCGGATCAGTCTTGCTTACTGGTTGTCGCGTAGGCTCGTCTCCTTGATCAGCTGATGATCTCGTTTCTTCTGCTTTTAATTGCGGCGTCGCGCATCCCTACGCGTAATTGAATAAGTACCCAAACAAGTGGCGCATCCTGTTCATCAAGCAGCTTCCGCTCACTTCAAAGCTGACAGACTTTCCTCGCACACTTTTCATTCATTTACATCATGTCAGCTTCTGTTTCATCTTACAACGAACTCCGCGCTTCTGGAGGCTTCATCCAAAGCTCTATGGACATGCTGCGAGTGCATTTGTCGCTCTTTGGGCCTTTGGAGTCTTCAGTCGAAGTTGCGGACACCCTCGGCCCAGATTTCAAATGTGAACCCTACACTACCGACGGTCATTCCTTTCACAAGATCTCCACCTCGCCCGCAACGGAACCACCGATCTCGTCGATCAGCGTAAACATAGACAATCTGGATACATGGGGATACAGATGGGAAGGAGAGCATCGAGACGATAACGAAGACAATCAAGAGTGGGTCGAACCCGAGAACGACGAGGATCGGGCGCTTTTGCGCTGCTGCGGCATGGCTTGCCCACCACCTCCGCCGTCCCTCGAGGTGCTGCCTACTACAAATCCTTTCGTTACCGTACACGACTACATCACTCAAGTCCACGCTTGGCTCCAGACTCTGAAACCAAGTATTCTGGCAGCTATGGACGAGTTGAGCTCTCCATCAACAAGACTCTACAGCAGCTTGGTGATCCTGAGGGTTTTAACGTTCGAGGAAGACATAGGGGCGGATAGACTGTGGGAATCAGTTGAGCGACATGTACGACGACGCAGAGGCGGCACGATGCTTTCTTGAACACGTCAGTATAACACATCTTTTGCGTGGAGACGCGACGGTGGCATCGTAAGGTGAGGCAGACATTAGACCCATTAGATCATGTATCTGATCGCAGGGTCGAAGATCGAGGTTCCTACAAAGTGTAACGCTTGATCTTTCGCTCCGCTAACGCCTTTCGATGATGTTTGTCAAATCAGTTTGATCAGCTGTTTCTCGCGTTGACCCATCTCCTCAATGAATCGGTCATACCATTCATGGGGTGTCAGATTCAATCTCGCCATCATCTGGTTCAGTACCATCTGCCTGAACCTCCATGCTCTTGGTTGTTTTATACATTGTCCTCGTATCCAAGATTCGCGAAGGGGACCTTGCTCGGGGAGTTCCAATTTCAAACAGATGGCACCCACTCCTGCTCTTTTGTATACACCTGGACCCACTTCCCTCACCATCAGCGCGTTGTGCTGCATCTGAATTTGAGAGCCTGATTTGCGTGCAAGCAGAGGTATGGCAAGCACCTCAGAATGCTCTTCGAAATACTCAACCTCATCATCCCATTCGAACAAGCACAACGCTGGTACTTGGTCTGAAGCGTCTTGTACACACTCCCAAAGGTGTGCGTGAAAACCATTGCGTGCCTTTATGATGGGTGTCTGGAGTACGAGTGCAGCTTCCACAACGTCGCCAAGAACTAGCGGACCCCGCGTGTGATAAATGATCTGGACGACTTGAGTGCAAGTGCTGTACTGCCAAATGTCCAGATTCCACCTTTCCCATTCGACGGTGCATTTTGATGACGACCATGACCAGCTTGGAATGACTCCTGGTTCAACTTGATGGGTTGTACCGCCTGATTTACGATGCCATAGAAGATCGAAAAGCAGGGTGTCTTCCCACAGGCCGGCTATGTATTGGTTGCCGATAGAATTTGCTCTGATTCGGCTGGCAAAGGCAGCAATTGCAGGTAGTTTATCTTTCGCAAATGTGAGGGTTCGCCAAGAATAGCCTTCTACAATCTCATACCATAGATCTTGTAAGGAGCTTCGAGATGCAGAGGGACACACCAAAACGGATCGTGGTAGGTTGACGCTACCTTCTGGCTCACCCTCACAGACTGTTCTTTCTCGACAAGACCAACTCACTTCCTTGGGACCGAAGTGAAGCACTCGGGGTGACAGACTGAGTTCTTGGAAGGTCCATCCGCGCTTGTACAACGGCCATCCATCATCCGTCCTGTGATGTAAGTCAGTTTCCCGACTACCAGGCACATCGAACTTTTGTCGCACGTATAGCCAAGGATATGCAGGCAGAAGAGAGCCCATACGAAGGGTTGGGGTTGATTTGAAGAGCCCCTCAGAAGCGTTTCGTGCCCCGACCGCTGCAATAGTCACATGTGCGTTCTCATAGACATCTGCCATGCGGGAAGCCTGTTCACGCCAGTCATCTTCATCGTCTTGCACGATACAAAGGCTATCGATCCAAATGCTGTCAATTCCAAGCTCTTTGCAGACTGATAGGGCATCCTGATACGTCTTTGGGAGATTCTCTATCAGTATGCCCGTTTTGATGTGTTCACTGCGGTTTTGACCACTGGTCCTGGTGAGGGTTTTCCCGTTCCCCCAACAGTGACTCAAGCAGGCATATCGCTTGGGTGGCGCATCTTCGTTGAGAGTGATGTTTTTGTCGCCAATGAGCAGAAATCTAATGCCTTCCAGTGTTTTACTCGTTTGTGCACTGTCTACCGAGCACTTGGGATGATCTGAAACACACTCGCTCATCCAGGCCTTAGTAGTATCGAAAGTTGCGTTTGATGAAGTTTTTCCGGGAAGCAGAGCCATGGGCCTTCTGTCGAAAGCCGTAACTACTCGAGAGTCGTCTACGAATATAGTCAGACCCCACAACAGTCTCACAATAGAAATTATCGAAGCGAGCACATACACACGAGAGTAGAGATGACAATACGTACCAGAGCTTCTTACTAAGCACTCAAAGAACATCCAGAAACTAGGCAACGACCCGAGTTCACCATCACCTACGTGATATACATCAAGTTCGCCATTTTTTCTGAAGTTCACGTGTGCGGGTCGTATCTGCGTTGTGGTATCAATCCATTCGAAAAAGGCTTTTGCCAGATGAAACCACAGACAGTCATCTCTTGAGCCTTCGTAACTCCAGTTTTGTATAGGATAACTACAAATGTTATGCTCCTCGAAATCGGCGCAGTATCCGCAACTATGGGCGACCAGATCCGAGTGAGAGAACATGAGGAATGGATATTTATCGGATGTCGAATACTATTCAGTCCTTCTGGAGCGTGCATTCCGTGGCAAAGAAGAAAAAGCAGGTGAACCTTGGAATGTACAGCGAAGACAGTAAAGAGGCTGTGGCTAATATACGCTAGCGCGGGCTTGTGACAATCCGTATGACCCGGAGAACAGCCTAAAATCTGCGTCTAGCAATCTCATCGATGCTTAGAGAGGTGCGCAAGAATCAAAGAAGTTGTAGAGGTCTTCGATTGTACAGCTGCCTAGGTACATACACTGAACACTCAGGGTCATTTTGCAAGGACGCTCAGGTAGAAGATCGATGTATTGGAAGAAAAAAAAAGGCCATCATCAACGGCATCTATTCGATGGATCAGATAGGGCTACGACTAGAACAACGATCCAATCAAACAAAAGCCCACTACACCCACCACCCAGCCCAACATACCCCTCACCATGTGTGCATCCTGCGTCGCAGCACCAGTGAACTCCAGAGGAGCCGTCTGCTGTACAGGCGCAGCGCTGGCATTACTCGGTACCAAGAAGCCAGCCGCCATAGTAACTACCGGTGCCGGCGGTGGTAGGTTCTCTGTCGCGACAGCCGGTGGGGATGCGATCGGTGATGACGAAGCAACAGAGGAAGACATTACGAGAGACGTTTCGGATGCGCTCGACGAGGCTGAAGAGACCGGGCTTGCTGAACTCGATATGTTGAATGTGGGAATAAACGATGAAGATGGCGACGAAGATGAAGCTTGCGTCGCGGATTCAACCGATGATTCAATTGACGAAATGGGGACAACAGCTGAAGATTGGGTGGCTATGCTCGAAGCCATGGACGTTGCGTTGCTTGTCGCAGCCTCCGATGTAAGAGGTGCGGAGCTCGAAGTCTCAATAGCTGACGACGCGCTCTCGGAAGCAGTCACTGTGATTTCTGCTGTTACCTTGGAAGTAACGTAAGCCGTGCTTGTGACCTCCACAGTCGACGTGCTCTCGGCTGATGTTGTCGTAGCGTTGAGCGACGACGTTGCTGGCGGGGTGTATTCATACGCGGGGGCTGTTGTAGTAGCTGCCGACGAAGTCGTAGAGACAGCATAGCTGATCAGAGTCGAAGTGGAGTTCAGCAGAGAAGTACTACATGGCGTAGAAACTGCCTCAGTCGCCATCGTCGAGGTAGTGTTCAACAAGGATGTCGCGTCTGCGGTGCTGCTTGCCAAAGCGGAAGTAGTGTTCAGAGCAGCAGTCGTTGACACCATGCTGCTCATTGCCGTTGAAGTGGTGTTCAAGAGCACAGTTGTAGATATGGTGCTAGTCATGGGTGTCGAAACAGCAGTCGACTCTGCAGAGGACGAGACCACGTCGCTGGCGAATATGAAGGTGACGTTTGGCATCAAAGTGGGAGCCGCGGCCATCTCACTAGCAATACTCGCTGTAGTCTTCGCTGTAGTGTCTGCAATTGGCGTTCCAGATACGGTCGCGCTGAACAAAGATGTCATGTTGGCTTCTAGCTTCGGCGCCGCGGTCATGTTGGCTTCCAGTTTCGGAGGCGCGGATGTAGCTTCAACCATCATCGGCGGAGGCGGAGGCACGATAACGCCTGTAACGTTATCGAAAGCACTCTCAGGTGCTGCGCAGCCGGAGAGTAGAGGAAATACGGCTGTGAAAATATTCTCCTGGACACCAACTGCGTTGAAAGGTGGTGGAAGGATTGGTATCGAAACATCGAGAGCGATATCGATCGAAAGGGAAACATTGGCTTCGACCAAAGCAAGAGGGCCCAGGCTTAGAAGTTCGGGTGGGAATTCTGTTGTTTGGTTGGCGAATGGCGCATTCGGTGCTGTAACATTGCTGCTGTTGCCGGCACCACAATTCTCCGGAATGTTGCTCGACAGCTTCGCGTCCAGACGGGGTAGGTTCAAAGATGGTGTGACTTCAGCTTTCAGCTGATCCAGAAAGTCGAAACCAATCGGTATGGCAGGGACGAACGCGAGACCAAGCAAGATCTCTGCGTCAGTTATGTTAACGTTGACGGGCAGCGGAGTGAGACTAGTTTCCTGGAAGCCAGTAACGCGGCTGCTGGCAAGATCAGCAAGCTCCACTCGAATGCTGGAACCATCAGGGACCTGAGAAAGTTAGTATCTCCATAATAACCATGTTGGAAAATATTTACCGTAAGCTGGAGTCCGTAGTTGACTTCAAGTGTACCACTGATCTCGAAGTCAAAGGCGAGCCTGGGCTCAAAGATAGCTCCAGCCTTGCCAATACCCGGAATTGTAAAACCAGCAATAGGAAGTTGGAATAAGGCGACCTCAAACTTCCCAGAGCTGGGCGGTCTAGCGAACAAGTCTAATGTTGCACCAACACCAGTCGCCACAAGCTCTACGAAACCACCACTGATGACATGCGAGATTTCCTTGCCGTCGTCGCCGCCTTCGAAGATGTCCGGAATGAGGTCGATTTGGGAAAGATCGATGTTGAAGGCACCCTGTGAAAGGGCGATCTGCCCACTTGTCGCGCATCGCTTGCAGCCAATCTCGATCGGCAAGGGCACATCAGGTGCTCCAACAAGACCAGCGATACCCGAAAGAAAGGCTTCGACCGGGAAAGCGGTGTTGAGAAGCTCCGATGATAGGTCAAAGGAGACAGTGTTGACATCGTCGGGAGTGTCTGCGGGTATGTCGACCTTGTTCTGTCGCTTGTTTCGAATTCTCGCGAAGTCGGAATGGCGTCGGTAAATATGATCGTCTGTCGTGTGGCCGAAAGAGATGTCGACATGATCAAACGCTGCTCGCCATGTTGTCTTTGAGACGGACAACTCAAGGGCTTCACCGTCCTCAGCAAACGACACGTCATTGACCCTGTGATCGTCAGATGAAATCACCGAAACGCCCGTGAGAAGCTTACCGATATACTGATCGCTCGCCGTCATCATTACACCCCTCGTGGGATGTGATGATCAAACCACCATCCGCGTCATGACAGGCCGCGCGGGCGTCTCGTGCTGAAGAAGTATCCACAAAGTGTAGCTTCATCGTGTCATCACCACATTGCACATCTTTGAGGTGATGTTCATGCTCTTCCAAGTTGAGTAGCGGTCTCTGCCCGCTGACTTTGACCTGCGAAGCAAATGTAGACTTGTCATTCCAGACATTCTCATCTAGCTTATTGTCAGTATTGGTGCAATCTCGTGGCTGCTACAACATACTGTCCACGTAAGCCAACTCAGATTCGAATCTCTTGGTGATCCTCACACCCCTACGATAGAGGTCTGTTCGTTTTGTAGCTGCTCGCAGCAGCCGATGCGTCTCAAGGTCACCACCCGAGATCGCAGCAACATCCGCGCTAAAGTATGCGATTAGGAGAACGGCAAACGCGCCGCGGAGGCTGAAAAGATGCATGTCGCGCGCGTATTAATCGAAGAAGATGAGTTGAAGAAACGTTCGTGCTCTTGTGAGAGCCAAGCAGCGTACGAACGACAACCCGATTATTAAAAAGGTGTAAAGAAAATGAGCGAATGTAAAGAGCGTATACCTCACTTCGAAAAGTAATCTCGCCAGCGAGTGTAGACGACAAAGATATATAGAAGACCCACGAAGAGAATCCACACACCACCACGAGAGGAAACGGAAGATACCTACCCCTACGAAGATCGGACGAGAACCAAGCCTAATAGAAAGCCCGACTCATTGCGAACCCCAGCACAGCCAAGCCAACAGGCTATGGAGATCATACACTGCACGGTACCTGCATTTTTTGGCACTGCACAGGTTGTCTTTCGCAGCGAGGGCTGCACCACGCGTGGTAAGGCCCAAGATCCTCGGCCCGTGGTTCGCGTCGCATGTTCACGCGTGTGGTCTAGTTCATCGCGACCGTGGCGTGAATGGCATGCGCTACAGCTGTCATAGGTCCGTCAAGTAATAGGACAGCGGAGTAATGGTACGGGGGTGGGTTCTCAAACGGGGATTGTGTGAGAAAGGGTTCTGTTTGCCTCAGGTTCTTGTCCAAGCGGGTGGGGCGGCCTAGTGTCGTTAGCGCTGCACTATTCTGCTTTTCATCTCTTGCTGCGACAACCCCCCTGAGGCTTTTCTATCGGTATCTTCAATTGCAGGACTTTCGGGAACTTTCGGCAGGTAAAAAGGGCCTTTGGGGTATTGGTAAGGGCTTTAGATAGCTGAAGTTATGCCGAACGGTGTATTGGATGCTTTCAGACAAGTAAGGTGCATAGCACGAAGGAGCTCGTCGACGTGGGATTTGACTCTTCTTCATGAGTAGCGCACGATAAATCCACTGAAGGATTCAAATGCTGTGTTACCATAAGCCCGAAAAAGCCCCAAAGGTGCTCAGGTGGTGGCGCAGGCTTTAGGCGGCAGCCTTGGCCTTTGCTGCATCTCGAGAACGCTGACAAGTGTAGCACCGTCCACAATACTCTCAATTACCCTCTCGTGGTTTCCACTCGGCCCACAGAATGCCGCCGTCGGAAAGCCCGTATGTCGATGTACCGCTCAATCTCGGAAAGAAGAACATCAGGCTGGTGACCCTGGAGCAGGATGACGCGTCAGGGCGCATCGAATGTAGTCTGCAGAGCTACGCGCTGGACGACGACTGCCCGGCATACGTTGCTCTCTCATACGCATGGGGTGCCAAAGGGCGATATGATGATATTCACCTCAATGGCTCGTCCTTCCCAGTCGGTCGCAATCTCTGGCACTTCCTCGACCAAATGCGAACGCAACGTCAGGACGTCAGGTTCTGGATAGACGCCATCAGCATCGATCAAGCGAATGTACTCGAGCAGAATCACCAAGTTCAGATGATGAGGGAAATTTATACACAAGCTTGTTCCGTGTGGATCTGGCTTGGCGAAGCAGATGATGCCACGTTGAGCGATGTCGCGATGCAGTACTTGGAGACGCGCGTTGCTTTGAATGGCAAAGATCTCAATCCGAAGAAGTTATGGAATGTACGCAAAGCAAAAGCTATATTGGGGCTGTGTGAAAAGGAGTACTGGAGAAGGATCTGGATCGTGCAAGAAGTCTTACTGGCGAAAGAAGTACAGATTCTCTGTGGCAGCCGTTGCGTACAGTGGATCAAGTTACAGCAGCTCTTGGTCGACCTTCAGGCTATTTCGGATAGAGGGCGGGCTCTTCACGTCGTTGGCGTACCAGCCGTTCTTGATAGCCCAGCCGCAGTCATCATCAGGGCGAAAGCGCAATGGAACGGCGATCCTCAACCACTCACACTATTACTAGAGCGATATCATAGACAGCATTCGACTGACGTCAGAGATAAGGTGTACGCTCTACATGGACTGGCAAGTGATGGTGGCGCCATATCCATCAACTATCGGATCGACCCGAAAGAACTCTTCGTGAAGATCGTCAAGCATGCATGCTTGTCGGTAGCGAGATCAAGGAAAAACCTGATTGGCTTTGTGAAGTTGATGCGAGAATCACTCAGAGTCTTTTGCGATGAGGAAGAGCTGGTTGATCACATCTTAGCGGCCCAGTGGAAAGCTAGTGATTGGTACCGGGTAGATCTGAGGTACGACTGGACCTCAGTACCTGGCAATCCGCAGACAAATCAGATGTCCGACGGCATGTCTCAAATGGCGGCCTTACAAAGACCAGAAACACGGCATTCCACCTTTCGCAATTCTGCGCAAGCTGTAGGCAACGATTCTAGAAAGCTTTCTGGCACAAGAGCAGCAGAAGTAGCCAAGGAGTTTGGCTATTACCAAGCATTCGCTCTCGCACGATCCTCCCGTCGTCATATGCTGATGCATGATGGCCATATGCTAAAATGCGTCGTTGACGACTGTAGCGACCGCTTCGACCACGAAGACAAATTGTGGAATCATGTCTGGCACTCTCATCAAGACTGGCAACCTTACCAAGATGCATTGCAGTCACTATCTTCCCTCAGAGAAGATGTTTAACACTTCATATCGCGATAATCTGCGGGCACCCAGGCCATGGTATGAATACAGCCAATGACGCGTTGGGCAAACATGTGTGCGCCTATATACTTGGAGCTCAGACCAGATTTTTATCTTTTATACACAATTAAGATTGTTGTTCTATACAGGACACTAATCAATTCTCCACGAAGACCGCGGCCCATATGTCTCTACCAACCTAACGCCCTCCTCACGACGCAGCACCAATCCCCTCGCCCACCGGACAATTCGGCACATTCGCCTGCCAAGCAACCTTCGCATACGCCGGCAAATAGCTATTAGTCGTAAAGCTCTCATCAATATAATATTCCACCTGGCTGAGCTCAAAGTCACCCCCAACATCAGGCTGGTTCAAGGCGTCGACGATATAGCTAGCAATAAAATCCAGGAACACCAGATCAACAGTCTTTGGCATCGATCCATCGAGCGGGAAGGAAGCGTTCGCCTGGAGATCATTGGGTTGGGAGAAGTTAGGGATGGCTGAGTGAACGGTGTCGTCACCGTCGGTGCCAAAGTCGTCTTTTGTCGTGTAGCCTGGGTTTGGGGCTGTGGATTGACGGCGGATGAGACGGCCGCCTTGCTTTGAACGGCGGGTAACGCCTTCGTAGTGGTGTGTGAGTGGCGGGTCGAGGCAGGTGTCTCGGTCTGCGAGGATGGGGCTGAAGCCGAAGTCGGAAGTTTCAAGGTCCCGCTTCTTCTTCTGGAAGGGACCGGCGTTCAGTATGCCGAGTACTTGAGATGCTTGCTCGTAGGGTACGTCGGGGATGAACTGGAAAGCGTCTTTGAATGGAGAGACGATGAAGGAGTCGTCGTAGGTGAAGGGGCCTTTGGCGAGATCGAAGCGGACTGATCCAGTGTTGATGATGATGAGTCTTGGGACGTCCTTGCGCGTCTCGTTTACAACGACGGTGGCCAACGCGGTTTGAAGGAGTCCGAAGATGTTGCCTTCAGCAAGGAACGGCTTGCAGTACTGACAGTATGTCGCTGGGGCGCATCCATACAAATCAGTCAAGTTAAGCTTCGCTCGCTCGGAAGTGATCTCATTAGTAACACTGACACCGGCGGTTGTGTCAAATGCGGTGTAGCGTTGACTTCCCTTAGCATGATAAGCAAACGTGTTGCGGTTCCAATCAAGGTATCTTCGGGCGTAGCGAAGGGTGGAGTTTGAAGTAGACGTAGGCATGTGAGCACTAGCAGATGCAGTCCCAGTGCTCGGTGGTACTACCGCGCTGCGTGTCGGATTCGGTACACCCTTGGGATTATGCGGCGCTTTGCAAGTCTTTGATTCGATGCCCGAAATGGCAACCCAGCCCAATGTTTCGCAGTAACGGCCTGAGACCATGTTAGCCAGTTGTTCCAAAGCTCGTCCAAAGTACATACCAGACTCAATTCCTGTAGCTTTGTCGTCGTACACGGCAAAATCTCGAATGTGAGTATGTCCGCCAAAAGCTTGAATAGGTACGTCTGGTTTCATGCTGCGAATGGCCTTGAAGACAGTACCCATTGTGCTGGTAGAAGCGCTGGTCCTCACAGGATTGTGACCAGTGATGACGAACAGATCGATGGGCTCGGTGTAGTTAACAGCCTGTTGGAACCACGGCTGCTTCACCATGTCGGCCGCTTTGATGACCTTAGAGACGTTGCTGTTGCCGGTGAAGTCGAAGAGAACGCCAAAAGCCATGATGCGGAGCCCTAGGCCTATCAGCATATTGTCAATTCCACGATTGACCGACTTACCCTGCTCGGTGGTGAAGTAGCGGTAGCGAGATCCAATGTACTCGAACTGGCCAGTGGTGGGGTTCTTGATCTGCACATTGCTGGTAAGGTACTTGTCGCCGTAGACCTTGGAAAAGTTGTTGAAGGTCTCGTAGGCGATCTCGGTAACATAAAGCTCGTGGTTTCCGATGGTCAACAAATCGTAATCGATGTCTTCGAAAATGGCATTCGAGACGTTGCCATTGGGAGTCGTCGCGTCGCTAAGTCCAGCACCGTCATGTAAGTCCTATCGCGCGTTAGTTGAATTGCGGCCTTCTTCACCCACGTGCGCAGCCCTACTCGTCCCCAGGGCTTGATGGCAGACACTAACCCCTGTGTCTACCAGAAGCAGATCGACGCCGAGATCCCGAGCCTTTTGCTTCATGTGCTTGGTGAAGCTGGCGTAATCACCCCAATCGGCCCCGTAGTTCTGTTCCTTGATGTGACCTTCCAGCCATCCGTGGGTATCGGTCGTATGCAAAAAGTTGATTTGACCCCATTCTAGCGGCGCCTTGGGTGTAGTAGTCGCATTCTGCGCGTCAGGTTGCATGCGACGAACATTTCTGGTCAACACGACATCATCTTTTAACGGCCCGTAGCAGCTGTTGTGGCCTTCGCAGGCTAGCGCCGGTGCCACTATCGAGAGGAAAGCGCCAAAGGCAAAGGACCGCATCGTGAGAACAGGGTGAAGGACAGCGCGCGAGGATCAGCTTGAAGGGCGTCATCTTCTTATGTAGCCTTTATGGCAGGTACGCGTACGTGCATCGCCGCCTCGGCTGTCTTACCCATGCCGCCGAAAAGAGATGCCCCTAGGGGCGGAAGCGGCAAAATCGCACGTGTAACGTTCATTGGAGAGAAAGATAAGCTTCGGCATGGTCGTGGACAAGCCATGCCAGAAAGCTTGATCGAAGCTTGCTCCTTCCTGTTGGGCGACAAGCGCAATTTTAGCGTTCCGAGGACCGGGAGCATGGCATCGCACCTCTCCGATGGTTCTCCCCGGCCATCTCCCGTATCTCTACGCTATCATTCGCCAACTCGCTTTCATCATACTGTTCGGAAGGCGGCTCGGAGCGCAGTGGTCTTGATGCCTCTCAATCGCGACAATCACTCAACTCGATCAATGCGTAGTACGTCACTAGTCCTTGCATCTCCCTGGAACCCAAGAGACCTTTCCTTTCTACGGGATGATATCATCATGGGTATCGTGTTCGACGGTCTCTTCCAAGGCTGGCTGCCGGTCACCACACGAAACTCATCAACAGATGGCATGGCTCTGGTCTCCACTAGTATCCGTGCCGCTTCCATGGCTTATCACCCAGCTCCAACTCCAACTCAGGCTTCGTCTTGTAGCGAGATCATTCCCGCGGCGGGATGAAGAGCCTAGAAGACGGCCTTTCACCCTCTCCTCAGTTCTGGAAAGGCATCGTTGACGCTAAACAATGATCAGCTATGTGAAAGTTCACAGCAGCACTGCATCGACTACAAAGCAAGGTACCTCCTGTGCTATTTCACGGTTCAACCCAACTTCTCTTTACCATTCTCAATATAGCAGCTAGATCAGCTTCGCAGTCATGGCCAGCCCACAGTGTACCACATGTGGGACAGCCGCCGTCCGCCCAGATCCAGAACAGCCTCACCCCAATGCCACGTGGTACAAGAATCCGCTATTAGCTGACGTTACCATCAAATATGGCGACGACGGAGAAAAGAAGTTCGTCGGTCATCGTCTTGTCCTTTGCTCAGTGAGCGAGTGGTTCAAGAAGGCATCCAAAAACTTCAAGGAAGCCAAGGATCAGGTGATAATTCTTAGGGGCGACCATCCGGAAGGCCTAGAGGCTCTTTTCGAGTACGCGTATAAGGAGGAGTATCTCGAAACAGTCGACGTTCCGGATGAGTTGACGGAGCTGAGACAGCGGTTCATGCATCGTCTGCGTGTATTCGCAGTAGCCGACAAGTATCAAGTAGAAGGTCTAACAGCTCTAGCCTATCGCCAGCTCAAGCAGCTCGTGGATCTCTTCACTGAACCAAGACGGACCTACGGTGACGAAGATGAAACGACAGCACCGGAGTTCTTCCGGTTCATGGTGAGGCAAGTGTATCATGATAGCGAGCGTTATTTTCCAGCTCTGCGGCACGACCTACACCAAACCGATCAGACCGCGGAAGGCACTTCGCAGATAGACCCGTCTGCGACTGAGCAAACCAACTCCACGTCTATTGACAACGTTCCTGTAAGGACTACATCTCAGCGGCACAACTCCGCGCGGCAGACAACATTCAACCCACCGAACCCACATTCACCCGAAGGTAGAAGTTCAAACCACCCTCTCGATCGCGTCCAGGACCTTCTTGTAGAAGGGGCCATGAATGCCTGGGTCAACGCGCATCCGGACTTCAATCGCCAGCATCTTGTCCCTCTTGCGCAAATGTTTCCGGATTTCGGCACGGATCTCATCGTTGCAGCGCTGAAGTCGTCGCGCATAGAAGGTTTGCCCGAGTATCTTTATGAAGACGAGGACTACGAGGGCTACGATGACGGCAGTGACAACGAATGGCTGAGGGCCCAGATCTTGTGAAATCTAGCGATCTTGCAGTGGAGATGGAGACAGATATGTAGGCGCGTAGCGTAATGACGCAATACTTGTACTGTTGGAAGATATACGACTTCGCAATACTGTTCTTGTGATGCGACACATTTTTGTCGGAGTTCGTGCATCTAATACACTGCCGATGATAGCAGCGCGCGTGACGAAAGTGATGGAGTGAAAGTGAAGTTGGTCGAACCTTCTCGATGACGAGCTGGTCCGAACGCGACATCCCACTTGAGCCCCGCAGTGCTGCGGACAAGGTGCAACCTCGAAGCACAACACAAACACTCGCCGTAGCACACGACTCAGACCTCGGCCACGATGGTCATCAACTACAGCAAGTGGGTGAGTCATGCGCTTCGACCATTGTAATAGAAGCAGCTTCTAACAATTACTAGGACGCCTTGGAGCTCTCGGACGACAGCGACATCGAAGTGCACCCCAACGTCGACAAGAAATCCTTCATTCGCGCCAAACAAGCCCAGATCCACCAGGAGCGCGACCACCGCCGCCACCAAATAAAGACGCTCAAGTACGAGCGCATCATCAACGATGGCCTCACCGAACGCGTCGACCGCCTGCTCACAGCGCTGAAGTCGCACAAGGACAAGCAGGCCGAGGGAAATGGCCAGAACGATGACCAGCTCGTCTTCCAGGCGATGATGGAGAGCATGATGGACATGAAGATTGACAAAGATGGAGGCTCGGACAGGCCGCCGCCACCACCAGAGGGCGTACACGAGCACATCAAGGACAAGCCCACATACCCGCAGATGATGGCAAGCTTAGTAGACGCAGTGAAGAAGGACATTGACGAGCAGAAGAGCGAAGAGCCGCGATATACACTGTTCATCCAGGGTCTAGAGAAGGAGAAGGCGCGCATACAAGACCTCCAGCAACAACTCCTAGCCAAGCTAGACGAGCTAGAAAAGGAAGACAAGAAGCACATCACGAGCGACGACATCCACGAAGGCTTCAGCTACTCCAACGTCAAGAAAGCCGAAGAAGAGAAGAAGAAGGCCGCCTCATCCTCTTCATCGAAGAAAGAGCCCGCCGTCGAACTCCTCAACAATCCCTCCCGCCCCTCCGCCACGCGAACAGACACAGGCCAGTCCTCCGGCGCAGATGGCGACATAGAAGAAGGCAGCGTCGCCGAGCCCACCGGCGCCGACTCCGACAACGAAGACGACATCACCGCCTCACCCCTCGCTCAGCAATTCGCTAAGATAAAAGCCGGAGACTGGTACGCGTGTCTCCAATTCCTCATGGCACACCCCGAGATCCTCGCCGAGAAAGAAACAGACGGCCTCCTCGTCGAAGCCTTCAACTCTGAACTCGACGGCAAGCCCAAACACGCGCGGCAATGCGTCCATCAAGGCTTGTTGCTACAATACTGTCGGCAGCTGGGAGGTAGACAAGGCGTAGAGCTCTTCTTCAAACGCATACAAATAAAAGACCACCAAGCCGGCAAAATGTTCAACGACGACGTCGACTCCACATACCACCGCATCAAGACACGCGCCGCCGAAATCCTCAAAGAACGCGCCGAGAACCCTTCATCCGAAGGCGCAGGCGTCGAGCAAATCCAACTCCACGCCGTAGACCCAGGCACGCAAATCAACATCTCGGTTCCACCCCAAGAGTCCAGCGCCACCGACCCAGCGGAGAAAGAAGCAGAAGAGCAAGCACGTCAGATCTTCGAGTCGTTCCCACCGGGTCTGCAGCGTGCGTTGGAGAGTGGGAAGCTGGATGAGGTGAATAAGGTGCTGGCGAAGATGAGTGTGGATGAGGCGGAGGAGGTGGTGGAGAAATTGGGTCAAGGGGGGATGTTGAGTTTGGAAGAGGGGGTGATTGATGCGACGACGGAGGAGGGACAGAGGGTTATGGGCGAGATTGAGAAGAATAGGAAGATGCCTGGCCAGGCACAGGCGCAAGAGCCTAGCAGGGTTGAGGAAGTAGATTAGGAAAGGGACGGGTGAAAGTGTGTTGTGAAGGATGAGAATAGAGATGGGACGGCATGACTTGGGATGAATGCTGTATTTGTACATTATGATTGATGATGGTATCTGAAAATTAACCAGTTTCGATGACAAATTTTAGTTGTTTGTCTCCCACTTATTCCGGTAGCTTTGCCTTGGATCACGCCCATCATTTCCCTTGTTATACCTGCAAAGTTCCCACTCCACCCATGCTCAGACCCTTTACATATCATACATCGACCCATGAACCCCAACGCCCTGCGCAAACCACACTACAAGCCATGCAGTAGTAGATGCGACTCCCGCGCCACAAACTATCATTTTAAATCTATCATCCCATCTATCAATACCCCGTGAAGGGATAGCTAAAGTCACCCCTACTGACTCAATGTTCTCAGATCAGCTCAGCAAAGTTATCATCGATCCCAGCCATATCCCTATCCCCAGCAAACGCTGCAAAGTCATCCTCACCAGCATTCCTGCTCATCTTCCTCTTTTTATGCGCATTCTCATACACATGATGTTGTCCGTACACACCACCTTCAGCACCACCCATTGGCGCATGTTGTAGGCTCTTGAGTAGGTCTGCGGCTATGTGCTGGTTCGGCTCGCCGATGGCGGTCGCGTATTCGGGCTGGGTGGTGTGCTGCGCAGGGGCAGGGGCGGTCTCTGGTACGACGGGGTGGGCAGCGGGTTGCGGCATTTCGTCGTCGCGGATGGTGGGCACGGGGTCGTTCTGAGGCGCGGGTGCGAGGTGTGGTGAGCCGACGGGTGTGAAAGATTCCATGGGCGGGGGTGTGAGTTCTTCGACTTCTGGTCTTTCCTGCGCACCTGAAAAGGTGGCGGCGACGGGTGAGGTTGTAGCGACTGGGAGGGGTGCGGTAGAGATTCTGTTCTGCTCTGCTGCTGACAGGCCTTTGAGGATGGCTTCCTCGACTGCGCGCTTTCGGCTCTCAATGGCGTCTTTGCGCGTCTTTAGATCTGCTTCCTGTGCTTCTTCGTCGACCAGCTTCTTCCTGTTCGCCTCGAGGAGGTGCTCTAGACCGGTAAGGAGGGCCTTGCGCGCCTTGATGCTCTCGGCGACAGCGCCTTCGGCCAGCGCAAGCTTCTTGCAGAGTGCAGCGAGTCCAGCCGCGTGCATTGGCGGGGATGGGATCGCGGCATTCGGGTTGGTGAGCTTCTCGTAGTCTTGGTTGGCGGTGGTGACGGCGGGTTTCGTCGCGGCATCGGCTTTCTGAAGCGCAGTTGCCAGAGGCGCGACCGGTGTAAGCTCAGGTGGGACCGACGAGCTCGAGAAGAGCGATCCACCCAGCGCAGGCTTGCGTGTAGATTTGGAGCGGTCCACCTCGTCTATCGACCTCTCGACTGCCTGCTGCACAGCCAAGTTGAAGATGTTGCGCTGCCTCCAAACCTCGACGACCCTCCGAATCTTGTTCTGTATCTCGTGGGGGGAGCCCTTGTAGGCTACCGTCGTCGCTTCGGCGAGAATGGGTTCGTATGCGCGCAGAAATTCCTCCTTCTTGCGCATCTTGGAGGTTTGTGTGATTTCGTTGGCGAGATAGATGAGCACCAGTTTCTTATTCGGAGGCGACTCCTTCATGCGCTGTAGCCATACATGAGCGATGCGCTCGGCATGTCGTCTGTACACGTGACGTTAGTATATGGCTCCAAAGTGCATGACAAAACCCGCAATCCATGGATTCAACGCGTGATGCATGCAGCAACCTGGGGTCTTGGCGGAAATGGGATGCTTTACCTGTGGAAGAGGATCCATTGGCCGACCGTGGAGATGGCCTCTTGGGTCTCATTGAGCGATGAGAGCTTGGCCTTGAGGCTGTCCTCGGTGAAAGCCATGATGGCACTGGAGGTCTTCACGAATATATGCGACAGCTACTGAAGAATGATGCGCACGCGAGCAGAAGACAATCACCCAGCGGAAGTGCGCGTAATGGCAACAGATGGGATGTAACCTTCAGCGTACGATATGCGCTCTGCAAGTGTTTGCGACTACAGTGTCCAGATGATGACGTGTGTTGGGGATGGAATGAGTGGAAGAGTTCCAGGTGAGGGAGCACTTGAGAGCTAGAGACGCTAGGTGGTATGCGGCTAAACGTGGCTCCGCCGCGCCAAGCAGCTCCCTGGCTGGCCGTCACCAACGGTAACTATCCAAGACGCAACAACAAGACACTTGTACGCAAACTGCTGTCGCCAAACTTATCTCCGCGCCTCCCACTACATCTCCCACACCCTCCACACCCACAATGGCAGACCGCTTCCCCTCATTAGACGAGATTGACGCCGGTGAGCTCAGCTATGGTCCCCGAAGCACCTCCGCACCGCATACTAAACCAAGCAGGCCAGACCGAAGCGCGCGGCGATGCGGCAGACTTCGACATTGGCGGCGGCGACAACGATGCCAGCAACTTCCTCGACCGTGAACGCGCGCTCCTTGGCGACGATGCCGACCAGTTTGCTTCGGAAAACGACAGGGCAGCGACGGTCGAGGACGGCGAAGACGACCTGCTTGGGGGAGACTTCAGCCAGGCCAACGTCGGCGGCCAGGAGATGAGCGGCTTCGAGAGCTCCTTCCCCGCCATTGACACCACCAACGACGTAAGCACGCCTGCCTCTTTAGCCAAGGCATGGTTGCGATCTGGCATGTTCAAAAGTGACGCGCCAGTCGAGACCTGAATTGAGCATGGAAACATCACCATGGCGACAGTATACTGACTCCAGCAGCACATGGCTCCCGGCGGCACCATCACAGGCTCAGGCCTGCCCTTCCTCCCCGGCCAACCAGCCCCATCCTTCACCCCACAGCGCTCAGACTCGCCCGAGCCCGACGTCATCCGCGAATGGCGCGAGCGCCGCGACCTCCAGATCCAGCACCGCGACGAGGTATCCCACGACCGCAAACAGAAAACCATCCAGGAGGCGCAGCAAAACATTGACGACTTCTACGAGAACTACAACAACAAGAAGGACAAGGAGATCGCCAAGACACGGAAGGAGGCTGAGGAGTTCCTTGCGAACCGCGACGACACCACTGCAGGCGGTACGAGCTGGGAGCGCATCGCCAAGCTGGTCGATCTGAGTGGAAAGGGCACCAAGGGCGGCGCGTCAGGTAGCGAGAAGGCCCGCTTCCGGGAACTGCTGCTCAGTCTGAAGAAGGACGAGAAGGCACCCGGTGCGACTGGATACTAGACGGAACGACGACATGGGTAGATGGCTATCTTTTTTGGAGCTCAGGGCAATGGTTTGGCATACGAATGAGCGTGTCTACGGCCATAAAACTTGGAGTTTACGGATTAGGTTGCAGGGTACTTCATGCAGCTGTGTTAATACTTACTCTCTGATTGCCTACCATTGCTTGTGGTTTTCAGTCATCAGTCTTCAGCACGAGCATCATCGAGCAAGCACTTGATATTTGCTAATGTGGTATATAGGCAGTGAGATGTTGAGCCTAGACATCTAGCATTCAGCAGTATCGACCATCACTAATGGATTCTCCACTAGAAGTAGAGCTAAGTGCTGTCTTAGGAACCCTTAATACCCCCAATGTTGCCATCAAGTACAGCGATCCCATAACCCGAGCCGAATACCGCTTTCGCACCCATATGCATGTTCTCTGCGCTAACTCGGTGACTCTCAAGAGAAAGTTCGACTCCGGAGAATACGTAAGTCAATATAACGCCTACTCACCACCCACTCCTGTTTAGGGCTTTGTAACCATTGCATTCTCTAACATGCTCCAGAATGTTGGATCTATCATCACTATCCCTCCTGGAAACGTACAAGCCGTCGAAGATATGATACGCTTCTTTTACCTCCAGACCTACAATCCGCGTCTTCTGCCCTCAGCCCCCATGTCTATGAAGCGGCAAGCGGCTCACCACGTTGCCGTTTACGATCTCGCACGTCAAAAGAGTTACGGTGTTAGTGGTCTGTCTGGACGTACTCATAGGGCGTTTCAGAATGGCGCTGACGGCGCTCTGGCCTGGTTGGACCAACCGGCAAACAATACGGCAAAGAACGCTGTGAGACTGCTCCGCATGTATGTCAACCTGATCTACGAGAACGATGACGAATCTTGGGAGGTGTTCCAGGGTCAAGACATGCCGGATATGATCACGTTCTGGCCTTTGAGAGGTTTGGTATGCGAAACCGCGGCTAGGATATGGGTCAGAGCACAGCAATGGAACGCGACGCCGGCTGTTGGTCAAGCTGCGGTCCAAGGAGAAGAAGAAGTTGAAATTGATGCCGGGGACACAGGTGAGGATGTTGTGAAGAAAGAGCTCGCGAAGTTGTGCTGGAAGTATGCGCATTTCGCACAGGACTTTGCGAGGTGGATGTTGATCAAGGGAGAGGTGACTATCGCGTTGGGTCACAATGTCATGGGGAGGACTTGGTAGATGGTAGAGGTATGCGGACATGCGCTTCTAGAGTGTCAAGGTAGAGTAGAGTAGCAACAGCACCATCTAGAAACTCAACCCAACAATCACTATCTGATACCAATCCAGAGAAGCAAAACAAGTCGTGACTTTCGCAGGATTCCCATCCCCACGGTCCAGCCAAAGCCAAGCCCTTGACCAGCCCATCGCAATCTAACCACGGCGCCATCACCAAACCCTCCCCAACCCCGCGGGCCGCATCGCAACAGTCCCGCAGCACAAACAATCTAAAGTCGTTCGACAAGGCCATGTAAAGTGTGCATCGTGACACCACGTCGACCGGCAACCCGGCTTTGCTCTATATAACGACTATATTAATTTCTCCGAGGTGCAGGATGGGTCTTCCCTGGTACGGTACTTGGGTAAACGAACATCCGCAATCACGTGGCAGATGCCCAGATGCAATATCGAATCTGAGACAACCACCAAGAAACATCTAGCTGGTGTCCACCAATTGCGTGAATCGCAAGCGTAGGCTGATTATTGAACATGTTCTGTGCGTCATGTTTCACAAAAAAAAGGTCGAGACGCTTTTAAACTTTTCTAACGCGGACGAACCCGTGCCCTGTGACGGCACACAACCAACGCCAGAATGAGACTGTTCTCCTCACGAACAACATATGATGGCATTCCAATAGAAATATGACGTCTGACAAGAGAATCCACCATCAACTCATTTCGCTTACCTCCTCTCAGTTCCCTCAACGGGCCCAACGGCTCCTTCCAGCCTGATCCAGCCACGCCTCACAGCCTCATAGGGGAAACAGTGGAGCCGCCCAGAGCCTCGCTAGCGCGCCTTGATTAATCTACGCACCCTCCTTTCATGATCGCCCTCCAGCATGTGGCCATCGCCATGGCAAGCCAGTGCAAGTTTCAAACAATCCATCTCGATGCTTGGTGCTGGTGGTGCCTTGGATCGGAATCCCATGGTGACGCAACTGCGCTCCTGTGTCGTGGAGTAATTACCAGCCGGAGACTACTTACTATAAGACATGCCGCCTCAGTCAATCTATGTTTTCGGCATCTAGGTCACTCAGTACCGGTCGTTCTGTCTAACTCCATCGTCGTCTATTCACTCGTTTTTTTGTGTCTTGTTCAAAACTTATAAGTCGTTCATCTTCTTTCAATTCATCTTCGGATTATCAGCACGCTCGATACGCAGGATCGTATCTTTACAGCTCGCAACCACCTCCAAACTTCCTTTCTTTGATACCCCAAACCCAATTCGAAATCGAATCGACTTTCTCATCTTCTTCAAAATGAAATACATCGCCTCCGCCCTCGCCTTCGCAACCGCCGTCGCAGCCCACGGCTACGTCAACAATGCCACCATCGGCGGCAAAGAATACATCTTCTACCAACCCTACCAGGACCCGTACATGACGGACGTGAAGCGCATCTCGCGCCCGATCCAAGGCAACGGCCCGGTTGAGGACGTAGCCATCTCCGATATCCAATGCGGCGGCTACGCAGCCGGCGGCATCAACGGCTCCAAGCCCGCTGCTCTCCACGCCGAAGCCGCCGCGGGTTCAGACGTCGAGCTCTACTGGACGCTCTGGCCTGAGAGCCACATGGGTCCTACCATCACCTACATGGCCAAGTGCCCCGATGCCGGATGCAACGACTGGATGCCTGAGTCAGCGTAAGTAACCCACCTGACCTATTATCCACCACGATGATACTAACACCCCCACCAGTGCAGTCTGGTTCAAAGTCCAAGAAGACGGCCGCCAAGGCACATCCGACGTCTGGGGCTCCGACGCCCTCCAAGTCCCCGGCGGCTCCGTCACATACACCATCCCCAAGTGCATCGCCCCAGGCTACTACCTCGTGCGCCACGAAATTGTTGCGCTGCACGCTGCGTACCAGTACCCTGGTGCGCAGTTCTATCCTGGGTGCCATCAGCTCAAGGTAACTGGAGGTGGATCCACGAAGCCGAGTGGGCTTGTTGGGTTCCCTGGTGCGTACAAGGGCAGCGATGCGGGTATCACTTATGATGCTTACAAGGCGGCTACTTATACTGTTCCTGGACCTAAGAAGTTTACTTGTTAGATGGGGTGAAGGGGGCTGGGGACTCTGAGATGGGAAACCTGGAATGGGAACCCTCAAGTACAGTACCCTGAGATGGGTTACACAACGCTTCTTTGTATATATTCGCAGTCGTATATAGCTGTCGTCATGAATGCATCTCTGCATCACACTTGAAAACACTCATGTCTGTTTGTTCTGCATCGTGTCGTGCCGCGTAGTTGGTTCTTGTCGTAACGTTGTTTGCGAAATCATCACTTCGTTCGAAAAAATACAATGTCATCGACACTTGCGCAGACGCTTCATCAATCGTACGGGATGGCTGATCATTGAACAGTTGTTTGCATATGTGACTTTCGTTGTTACACTTCGATGCCTATGATGACCGTGTGGTTGCTTGGTGCGCTGGTAGATGAAGCGTCGCAAAACGCATTTTATCGCATCGAATGTGTCGAATGCTAAGGGTGCAATGAAACCAGCGTCTGTATTACTGTGATGAATATCCCGGTGTTGGAATGCAGTCACGCCGCTGCTGAGTAACTCTTGCGATTGATGGCCGCATTTTAGGTATTTCTTCTAATCCTTCTGCCTCCACAGCATGCCATCGAAAATGTTGACGAGCGTACCAGGCAGATCTTCGAGATCCGTGGTGCATTGCTACTGCGGTGTCTCTATGACTGCCTTCGAATTTCGTTACAAATATCTCATCTCGACATCTGTGCCGCGGAAGTCGAACAACTCTTTCTTTTTTGCTGACGGCGACAACTTCCCTGATTCCATCTCGCTCACTCCGCGGAGGCAGGGCACTTCCTTTTATCCTGGATGTGGGCTCAAGATTTTGGTCAGATGAACAATCGTCTCGGGCCTTCTCTGGTGCTTTTGCGCGTGGAGGGGAAGCGTTCTCACTTCCCCGTCAGCCGTATATCCGCCACCCTTACGTGTCGGAGCCTGATTCGCACTAAGGGGTCTGCATCTTTCATCTGATTGTCAGGCACCTCGGTTGTGCATCTTTATCAGATGCGTGTACCAGAGTGAGTGCGATCACGCTTACCACGGTACTGACGGGTGCAAAGCCTATCTGGGCTACCAGTACCCGATGCTCTTGGATTGGCTGCTTCGTTTTGGTTCTGCGTTGTCGACGTCGGCCTTACCTCGTACTATGAATTCGAGGGTGTGAGCGAGAGCGGTTGTAGATGACTGAAAGCGGTAGCGCCCTGTACGATCGGTGAGGTTTGATCAGCGCTGTGTGCTGTCGCATCTGCGAAGACGCATCAAGGTCAGCGAAACCTGAAGGTCGCATCTTGGTGTTGAACGTGGCTAGTAGCTCTCGAAGGATATGGGGAAGAGCGCCACTTTCCGGTCAGTCTAGAAGGATGTCTTCAGCTACTATATCGAAAATGGTACACCGTCTGGAGGTGGAAGCAGCCCAGCGTGGGCTTGCGCCAGTCTAAGTGCCAGGCTGATCGCCGGCCCTAACGGACGGGTCCGCACATGGCTTCGGCACTATTTTGAAACCGCCGAAAGGAAGAGGTACCTTCTGGAAAAGATCAGAGATGTCAGGTTCGCTTGGAGAAACGAGACGAGTCAGCAATTGTCCGGACAAAAGGCGCATGGCGTAGATGAAGCAGGAACTTCTGACGTCCTTTCTGCGTAGTGTCGGCGATGCTTTGAAAAGGCAATTGCTAATGCGATTGCGGTTGGAATCGCGGTCAAGGTGATGTGAAGAGCAAGCGGTAGTCCAAGGGCTTGCGCTGCAGCTAGCAATGCGATGATGCCCACAGTGGGCCCTAGACGCCGGTTCTGCTCCTTCCCCGACTCACATCTGCGCCGTCCAAGCTAACCTTCGAGTGCTAACACCCCCGACAGCCCGAAACAGAATGACGATGCACCCATGTCGTCTGTGATGATCGATGAGGCAGCTGCAAGCGATATCGGTCGGTATATTTCATCGCAGAGCCTTGGAGGATCTTCATCTTACGACGCATCGTCTTCCGTTGTAGCCGTGAACGCTTGACAAACGCTAAAGACCAGGGATTCTGGTAATTTGTCCAACGGCTCTGCTTCGTGCTCAACTCCGTGCCAGGCGGACTTAGTCGAACAGGAAAGACCCTGGAATTAGTCGATGGGTGAATAGCCGCGAGCTTCCACCGCTCTTTCGGATCTTGCCAACGCTCCTAGACGTCTAGCGAGTATTCCATATCCTGGCCTTGGTACCATCATCATGATCACCTGGCCATGTGCATACTTAGGCGACGCTCCTGATCCATGCTTCGTCGTGGCTGGTTGCAGAAAGACGATCCGTGCTGCTGTTTAAATCGGGTCCTCGAAGATATGTGGCGCGCACCAAGGCGCGCGACTAAGGCACGGTTTGAGAGGTGCAAGAGGCCCAGCGCAATGGTAATGAGAAGCAAATCTCCGTGGACGATCTGGTCAGGTTCGTGTTACATGTGCATTGGTTGTGGCATGTGTGCCGTCGCAGGCATGTCCGCGGGTGTCGCTTATGCTACTCGTCTAGGCAAGATGACACAGCGCGGGACTGATTTCTGATAAGCTGTCGACGAGACTCTCATTCTCAAAGTATATTGTCGAGTATACGAATCCCGAGTAAATCATGGCCGACGTTTCAGTCGAAAGTCAGGGATCAAGGTTTCGGATGAAAGCTCCCGCCGCGGTTCATGGAGCGACTCCGAAGTCTGCGTTCCTTGAGAGCCCAGCCAGAAGCTTACAAAATTCCCTGATATCATGCTCGTCAGATCTGTCCCTCGGCGAAGGTACGTCGTATCAAAATAGCCGCGCGGACCAATAGAGATCTTCCTCCTCACCGCCTGGACGAAGTTTTCTTACGAACAGTCAGGGGGTACCGGTTACAGGTAGACCGTAGTAACACCCGAGTCGTACCGCTCGTGAGCTCACGCAAGGCAAGCCGCACTTCCATCTGCGTGCGTCATAGCTCCAAAGAATGTGTTAGACCGCGGCAGTTTCCTGCCCGGACATTGAGTAAGGGCTCCTCGCTGAGGCGCGTTGACGCCGTTGAGTAATCTACCGTGCCTCGCGACACATCGGCTAAACATCGACAGTCAGCTATCGAGAGGCTCATCCATGCCGCTTCGACAGGCGTCACAAGCGTCTCATGAGGTGGGTTACATATTGTTCCCAGGGCTGAGTATACCCCAGTCAGAAATGCAGAGTAAACGGCCCGCCACCTTGGGTCGCCGAAGCGGCACCACTCTTCTTGGCCCCAGCACGCTACTTCCTTCAAACGTTCGGCACCAGTCTTCGTGCGCAAATGACAGTACCGTAAACCCACAATCGCTTCAGCGACTCCAGGATCTGCCCGTCTGCGAAAAGAGGCTGATTGTTTGCGATTGGCTGCGTTTTCGCACCCTGTCGTCCCACTCCTTACTTGCTCTTTCCCACGTTCACGCCTCTAGCAACACACTCCGCACGTGTCATCATGGCAAACGCTGTAAAATTACTACCCTGAATGTAGGTCGCATCTCGCAACTTGATACTACTGGACCGTTTTGGGCACCCGTTGGTCGCACGGTTGGCTTTTCCTTTAGTCAGGTTATTCATATAGCCACTACCCGTGGACATGTCTCCCATGCCCCTACATCATTCACCCGACCACGTACCCTTTCCACATCCAGTATCGACTCCCTGGTAGCTGGGTTTGTGGATCCACGCCGTGGCTGTCAATCCTCCTAGTGTGTCTCCGCTGACGGCCCACCGTCTTTTACACCCTTCTAAATTCCTTCTACGCTTCCGTCGCCGAGACCCTTCTTGTTTCTCTTCAACTTCTCATGCTCGTTCGTTGATCACCGGTATTAACCATGGGCTTCAATCCAGACTCCAAAGAATTGGGACCGAGTGAGCCACGAGCGCTCCAACCTACCGTCTCCAGTCAATCGAAAGCAGCAGAAGCAGGGCATCACCAGAACCGAAGCATCATGGCAACCATCGCAGACGACGACGACCGCCTACTTGTGCGCATTGGATACACTCCTGTAAGCGCTCCAAGTCATTCACTCGAGCATCTTCCAACAGTCTCCGCAGGTTCTACAAAGACATTTCTCGAGATGGTCTACAGTTTCATATGCCATCTCGATTCTAGGAGTACTGGGCTCAGTGCCCGCCACCTTTGGTGCACCAATGAGCTCGGGTGGTCCAGCAACAGCAGTATGGGCTTGGTTCATTGGCAGTATCATGGCATACTGCATAGCAAGTTCAGGTACGTTTGTAACATACATGCGAGAGCTCTAGCTAACTCTCGTTAAGTTGCCGAACTGGTCTCAGCATATCCGACAGCGGGAGGCATGTACTATGTCACAAAACACGTTGTACCACCTGAACACGTTGCAGCCTGGGCGTGGATCATCGGTTGGTGCAACTTCCTTGGACAAGCCGCCGGCGTTGCAAGTCTGGCGTATACAATCTCCCAGATGATATTGGCGACGGTTGTCATGCACACGCTAGACAATGGAGAGTCTGCTTTTACGCCGTAAGAATCACCCCACTTGGATCACCTGCAGCAGCTTACCGATCAATGCAGGCAAGCATATCAGACCGTCCTTCTCGCTATTTTCGTGTTGTGCATGTTTGGCACAATCTGCTCATTCCCCACGAATTGGCTTCATCGCATCATCTTGTGGTTCGCCCCTATCAACAGTACGTCGACGAAGGATTCGTGTTGAGCGCCGTCTGACAGCAAATAGTCATCGCATCAATCTGCATCTGCATCGCTCTTCTCATTCTCACACCGAACAAGCAAAGCCCACAATGGGTGTTCACAACAGTCATGGACGGCTCAGGCTGGGGAAGCAAGGGTTTTTCATTCCTCCTTGGGTAGGACCAAACCAACATTTGCATAGCGCCAGACCACTGACTAGTCCCAGCTTCCTTTCCGTTGCATGGACGATGACTGACTACGACGGCACGACACAGTAAGTCAGCCCTACGACTCCGCACATGAGCCAATCTAATCAGCGTTACACAGCATGTCGGAAGAGACCCACGATGCCGCTATTCGCGGCCCTGTAGCGATCCGCGCTGCAATCCTCGTCTCCGGCGTCGTCGGTTGGATGCTAACCGTCACCTTCTGCTTCTGCATGTCAGACTACGATGCGATTATGGCCACGCCGACCGGTCTGCCCGTGGCCCAGATCTTCTTCAACGCTGGCGGCAAAACAGGTGGAACCATCATGTGGTTCTTCGTCATGTTGGTCCAGTTCTTCACCGGCTGCTCAGCCATGTTGGCAAATGCTAGAATGGCTTGGGCCTTCTCCCGCGACGCAGCCTTCCCATTTTCGGGGTGAGTTTCCGCGTCCAATCGACGCTAATATTGAGGGGTGCTGACTTTGCATAGCTTTTGGAGCAAGATCAACTCCTACACGCACACTCCGGTCAATGCGGTATGGCTAGTTGTGCTGTTCTGCAGCTGCCTCGACCTAATCGGCATCGGAAGCACTCTTACCATTACGGCTATCTTCAACATCACCGCCCCGGCCTTGGACATCAGTTACATCGCAGTCATCATTGCCCACCGATGGTACGAGAACACTGTCACTTTCCACCCTGGACCATACACTATGGGCAGATGGAGCAAGCCGGTCAATGCGATTGCAGTGACATGGGTCATCTTCATCAGTGTTGTGTTGTTCTTCCCGACTGTCAAACCAGTCAGGGCCGACAACATGAACTACGCTATCTGTGTGGCAGCCTTCATTGGCCTGTTTAGCACGGCTTGGTGGTATGCGGGTGCAAGGAAGAAGTACACCGGCCCTCGTACAAGCGACACCATCGACATGCTTCCACCGGAGGACCCAGAGGATATCCTCAGCGACTACGACAACAATGTCTAGTGCACAGCTCCGCATCGCATTCGCCTATTCCTATTCGAGAGCGCATGGCCGCCTCGAACTTTACGATTTTAACGATTTCACATTCAACGGAGTTTTACATGGTGGTGGGCATCTGTTATTCCGGCGTTGGTCAACTTTTGGATTTCATTTTCTTTCATCATTTTCTTTCGAACAAACGGAGTCACCACCTAGAAGGGAAGAGAGATCAGGGGCCACTCCCATTCACTTGCGCAAGATACCTATAGATCGGATGATACCCCCCAAGCTGCCAGCCACACGCGTACTCGATAGCAAAACTACGCCAATGTCCTTATTATTTAGCGCAATATACTCCATCAACACTACAATCACCTACTTTCAGTAATTTCCCCCATCGTCCTCGGTTCGCATGGTCACTACGTGGGTGTCAATGGTCACAGGTTTGCATCTGCTGCTAGCGTTGCAGCTTCATGCAATGCAGGTCATATTTGGTCCGCCCATCCGCGATTAGTCGCACACCACCAATGACAAGAAATGCACCATCTTTTGCTTTTTCACATCCTCTTGTATGGATTGATCGGTATTCAGAGGGCGTAGTTCGCCTGCTTACGTGACCCTGCACTGCTAGGACACTGTACATATGCAGGCTTAGCGGGATCGAGGCTGTCATCGGCAACTTCGCATTATGGCACCCCTTTGGATCCTTGGCCGGTCGGTTAGAATTACGGGAAGAATGCTATGCGGGAGGGTTAGTGGATGAGTGACAGGGCTACGAAGAGATCTGTGGCTACGACGCTGCAGGATCTGAGGTGGTGGAGTGAAGTATGCTCGCGCGTTACACGGGCGTAATCTTATACGAGCAGTACAGAATCTGGAACAGTCATCCTAAATCGCATGCATGTGTATGTAATTGGTCCAGAAAGACGTGCTCGTTGCTCTACCAAAACTAGAGACTTCTACATCAGATGGTACCACAACGCATTCATCCCACTAATCAGCGAACTCAGCCCACAGAAAACAACAAGTCCACCATAACCACTTCCATAGCCCCCAATTGCCTCGTGTTTCCAAGGCATGCCGCCGACAAGCGCCTCACTCATCGGACCAGCCACAATATTTCCAACCCCCCTAGCAAGACAGAACAGCGAGAATATGAGAATGGTATCCACATGTCCCATCCCCCTCGACTCGCCCTCTTTCGCCATCTCCCTCATAACAGCCGGCCATGCTGCTGGAAAGCCGCCGGCAAATAAACCGAACAAAATACAGAAGGTGTATAGAACAGCGATATGTGTAGCCAAGCCCCAGAAAAGAAAGACAGAGAGCGTAGCGCCCGTAGCGGAGACCGCAATGCAGACCCGTGAGTTAAACCGGTCGGTCATGTACCCCATGGTGGTAAGACCGACCATAGCAGACACATTAAGTAACATCAGTGAGGCCGTAGACTCCCAATCCGAAGCACCGAACACCTCGCGGGTGAAAGAAGGGAGGTAAATCCCAGGGAGATAGTACCCCGCGCCCTGAACAAAATTAGCAAGTTGATGCAACAAGAAAGATCTCGAGCAAATGAGTTTCCAGTTCCAGAACCTCTTCTCCCCAGTATCGACGTTCGTAACTGGGAGTCTCGGTCTAACAAACCACGCCAACGGCATCCCTAGTCCAAACATTACACCAGCCAAAACCCGCATCGTACTCGGGTATCCCACTTGATCCAGCAACGCGTTGATCAAAAGAGGCAGGACTAACCCTCCGCACCCACCACCCGCGCCGATAACCCCAAACGCCAATCCACGCCTCTTATCGAACCACTGTTCTGCGAAGACCAACAGCGGACAGAACGCCACACTACCTGAGATAAGTATACGAGGTCAGTCAACGTCCCACATGTCGTTCCCACAGTGAAGTATCTTACCACTTACGCCCTGCAGCACACCCTGCGTAAACAGCAGCTGCGTCGTGCTAGTACAAAACGAACTAGCCAAGTTCGACACAACACAACCGAGCAGACCCGTCATCGCCATCCAGCGTGCGTAGACTGGTTTCCGGCGCGCGAGATACAGAACGGGGGGGAGGAAGATGAGGATGAGAGATTGGTTTAGGACGCCGGTTACAGCGGCGAAAGAGGAGGAGGAGGAGGATTGGGAGTTGGAGTTGGAGTTGGAGGCAAAGGGGGCGTGCGTGGTGTAGTGGGATTGGAAGCGGCCGTAGGAGAAGGATTGGCCTGTGGGTTGGTGAGTGTGTGTTAGGTAGAGGTGTGTTAGAGAGTAGAATGGGGAGTGGTTGAGGGATGTTGAGAGGGGACGGACCGATGGTTAGGAATTCGATGGCGAAGGCTGCGGCGAGGAAGAGCCAGGCGTGTGTTCCTTTGTCCATGGGTGGGAGGGTTGGGGGGAGTACGGAAGGGTTCTCATGGAGCTGTGAGATGTGTTTATCTCCGATGTCGTTTCGTGAGGGTAGGTCTTGGTCGTTTGGATTAGCAACAGTTGTTGGTGGTGTGGTTTCGATGGGATTGTTGGACATGTTCCCGGTTGCCAGTACGTGGACTAGATGTAAGGGGAGAATGTGATAGGTATCAATTAGCTATACTTGCTGATGTCCTAATGGATCCTGCTTTCAGAAGGCTGTTGTCCTAACAAGTAGTGTCCGCGTCGACTAAAAGTGAATATATCACTCCCGTATTTGCACTATACTACCTTATCCGCACACGCCTTGCGCCCACACGCCTTACGCCTACGATACCCCCATCCCCAACCCCTCGCATGCGCCGTTTGGTCCACGCGCCCTACGCATCTGCAGGACGCCCTTGGCAACCACTCAATTCATCCGCGACACCTTCACACAACACATCACCCAACTCATCATCCAACACAACCAATTGCATATAAACTTGTATTGATGCATATCCAGGTCTACTCTGGAAGCCAATGGGGTATTCTAACTGTGTCGCAAACATGACTTATAAATCTCGATAGATGGCAAGATAGAAAAGGAAAATGTGGGTGTAAAGAATGAAGAGAACCTGACATGATGGAAGAAACTTTTAGTCCGTTATTTCCCTGTCGTCGATGGTTGTTCTGGCGTAAATGTCGTTGCGTTAATGATTATGTTTTGCGCTTGCGCAGTGTTTGCGAGGTGTGTCTTGTATCCTCTTTCTTTCTGCTTGCGCGTGGTGTGTGTTTTCTTGTGCGACGTTCTCAAAGCTTTGGACACGTCGTGTGCTGCGATGCCGTGTAAGGTGTCATGCATGGCACGTTGTCCCTCGGTAGGCCACGACGCTGTCTTCTCTCTGTTGGTCCGACCAGATAGGTGTCCATCCACCGTCGTCGACCCGTAGGTACAGGAGCAGCTTCGTCCGAGGGGCGTCTATGACCGTCCAGTTCCCATACGGCTCAGTTCCTTTATCCGTATAGTGGAAGGCATCTTGCTGAAGCGCTTGCTACTTGAGGTGGTGGACGAGTTTGCCGAGGAAGGAGCCGAGGCATAGACGTACTCGCCGTCAACGTATTGCGCTTCGCTGATAAAGGTCGTGCGCTTCTCGCGACGTGTGTAACGCTGTTCGAGGCGGTAGAGCTCGAGGCCTGGATTGGGTTCTTGTTAGTCTACTGTCGCAGATGTGAAGGTTCGGGGCTAAGGTAAGATGGGACGAAGCGAGGTAAGACATACGAGCTTGCATCTTCTCAATGAGACCCATTGTGTATTGTGTGAAGTTTGTTGTGCCGCGCGCCGAGAGATATTGTGTTTGTGTCTGTGTCGAAGAAGGAATACCAAGGAGAGGCGGATCGTAGATACGGCACGGTTGTGATGTCGCAATGTGTTCGCCGGCTAGTTCCCTGCTGCGCTGTTGCAGATGCCGTATCGGATTGAGGTCGGACCAGGTACTCGAATTATGTTATAATAATGCGCTTCACGCCTGTAAGATTGGTGCTCAGATTATGCGAGGGTAGATAGCGGGTAAACGAGTGTAGAGATGCGGCGCGGGAGGGGAACGATGTGATGAAAAAGGAACGGATGGCTGGTAAAAGACGGGATCAACGACTACGGTACGCGAGTTCCAAGAGGAAGGAGGGCCTTCCCTCGGATAGGTTGTTGGGGCGGGACAGTTGCTAGGCGTTCCAGGTTTCATGCGCGGGCAGTTCTCGAATCCCAAGTTGCATGATTTGGGGTTAGTAGAGCCGAAAGCCAAAACATACCAGGCCTAGAAAAGCCATCGTGTCCGTGTCGCGGATTCGTGAGTCGTGGACCGCTTTCGCCATTGCGCGGCTTGCTTGCATCGATATTGTTTATTGCGGGGTGTAGCGGCTTACTTGCTTGACAGCTGGGAAATCTGTAAGCATAGCCGTCGCGGAAACCTCTCCGAAGGCTCCAAATCCCTGGATCTTCTAGAGTTCGCACCCAAAGGTTCCCGATTCTCGAGTCAGGGTCTCACGTGGTAATCAGGGGTCTTGGGCGAGACCCCAGAACGTGCCGGCGCCACCGCCTTGGCAACCGACGCTCGTCCCAGGGGCGCATCGCTAATCCTCGTGCAGCACAATTCATCCGCCGGGTAGCAATCGGCATGGCCGATCACAGAACAGATACGTTTCTTTTCGTAGGACAACGAGAACCACCATGACATAGGATCTGATTGCTTCTCCAAAACTTGATGCCCAAAAAATTCCGGGATCGCCATGCCGCATACCGTAGATCTATAGCCTCACCATGCTCCGTGCTCCATTACAGTTGAAATTGTCCGACCATGACCTCATGCGATTACTCGTGACTCCGGGACCGTGCCATCGACCACAGCAATCGCGCCAACATTGCCTGCATCTGCGGATCCGTTCAACAACGAAATGACAGAGATGACATCCGAAGGCTCGAGCAGATGCCAGCTCGCCAGCGTCTGCTTCGAGCTGGCGCCAACCGTGACCGAGAAGACGTGATCAGTGGGCAGTTTGGACTGGCGCAGCGATCGGAACATGTCTGTTGATGTTAGCGGGTGGACAGCGCAGCCACAAGTGCAATACATACCTTCATCTGTGAAGTCGTCGCCCATGCAAAGAACAAACTCAGGCGCATTGCCGCTACCTTCGCCATAGTTCTCTACAAGCGTCTTCGCGATCTCGCCCTTGTTCACGAACCTCGGGCGAACTTCAAGATTGGCTTTACCCGTCATGACTTCGACGTCGTGCTTCTTTGCGACAGTCCTCTCGAGATGCTTCTGGCACTCACGCGCCTGGAACGCACCGTATTCGGGATCCGCTCTCCGGTAGTGCCATGTCAGGGCAATCTTCTTGCGTTCGATGAATGAACCTGATCATCTGTTAGTAATAGGTAGTTTGATTGACAGTGTAATAGCTCACCTTGTGTCCTCTCAGTGTAGTGCTGGAAGACGTCAATAACCTCCTGCTGCCAGCTCATGTCGGTCGTCTCGGTGAGATTGTGCCATTCCTGACTGCGTGGATGCCTCATGAAGCTGCCATGCTCAGCACTCAGACCCAGCTCGGGAATGTGGCCCATCCATTCGTCCAGGAAAGCCTGGTCTCTGCCGCTGATGATCCAAACAGCATTCGCAGGGTCCGCTGCTAGGGTCTTGAGGGTCCGGATGACACGATCGGATGGAATGGCTGCTTGCGGGTCTTTGACAATGGGTGTCAGAGTGCCGTCGTAGTCGAACATGAAGAGTCGCTTCTTGGCCTCACGGTATTGGAAGAGTAGTTTGGCCCGGTCAAGTGCTGGCGTAGCGAACGCTTGATCGAAAGCTGACAGGTTCGTCATCAATCGCTTCAGGTAGTTGTTCGACCAAGCCTGTACATTGTTTTGCACAACATGATTGTAGAGTTGGGCGTGAGTCTCGGCACGAACTTCGTCACTCTGGTTCAGAGCGTCGTTGATCGCATCGGCAACTCCGCCCATGTCCCAGGGGTTGATGTGGCTTGCGTTGTGCAAGGAACTCGCTGTACCAGAGAACTCCGAAAGAATGAGCGGTCCGTGATTATCCTTTTGGCAAATGATGTATTCCATACTTGTCGTGTTCATACCGTCTCGTACGCTGGTGATGAGGCCGATATCTGCAAGTCGAAGCAGAGCAAAGTATTCCTCCCGGGAAAGATATTGTGGGAAATGACGGACCGGGGTGAAGTCTAGAGTTCCATAGGTGCCGTTAATCTTGGCCGCAAGGTCCGAGATCTTGTTGACCACCTTTTCCTGTGCGCCATCACTTCTATCGGTATGGACTCCGCTAGGACTTGTGACCTGGATGAGGACTACTTTGCCTACCCACTCGGGATACTTCTGAAGGAAGAGCTGGAACGCCTGGAGCTTCTGAACCACTCCGCGAACCGCATCTAGCCTGTCACGACCAACAATGAGCTTCTTGCCAGCATACATCTCGCTGATGTCTTTGAGTTTATGCTCAATCTCCGGGTCGCCAAAAGCCTGTCGCTGTGTGGAGACTGCGTTAATTCCGATGGGGAACACGTCGACTGCTACATGCGCGCCGTACGCATCGACTCCAGTGGAAGACGAATCGAAACCCAGTATCCTAGTACAGCAAGACGAAAAGTGCCGCGAGTAGCTATATGACTGGAAGCCGATCATGTTGGCACCCAACACGCCCTCCAGGATCTCTTTCCGTCTGCTCAGGCAGCGGTAGAACTCGCTACTTGGGAAAGGGATGTGCAGGTAGAAGCCAATGTAGATGTTGGGTAGACGTTGGCGAAGGAGACTTGGTAAGAGCATCAGGTAGAAATCGTGTACCATGACGATGTCGCCCGGCTTGTAGACCTCGAGGATTCTGTCTGCGAAGAGCTTGTTCATGCGGTAGTAGTCAGCCCATGATTTCCGGGCAGCGCGCCCATCAGCTGGCTCATTTTGCTTGTAGTGGAACAGGGTGTAGAGCTCGTGCTCGGCATATGTCCTCCAATGGCTCTGATTCTTCAGGATGTATTCATCTTTGCCATCATCTACCTCGTCGACAAGCCACACTGGCACAATCCTGCCTCCGTGATCGCGTTCGAGCTGTTTATCCAATCGTGCTCGATCGTCTGGGCCTATCCTGAAGCTGTTTGGAGCTTGAGGCACTTGTGTCGGTTTCTTTGGATCGACGGGAATGGGCGCGGCGGCCTTGTTCATAGGCGCTTGCGTGGCTGTGACGGATGCTGTCTTTGCGTGCGCGATCTCACCAGTCCAGCCTACGAGCACGTGGTTCCATGGAGAAGAACTGGAAGCCAGGTAAGAGAAGGAGTCGAAAAGGGCCGAGGTTCCGCGTCGCGGGTTCAGTTCCCAGTCGTTGCCCTGTGAGTAACCAATTGAATAGGGTATGGCAAAGGTCGCACTGATAACGCGACCGCTGAGGTTCAAGCCAGGGTGTGCGGCGCGAGGATCTACGTCTGCAAGGTCGTGCTTGGCATTCGGGTCGGGTACCTCGCTCGTTTTGCTCTTGACGTCTCCATCAGTTTGTGCGCCGGCTGCCTGTTCAGTCTGAGTGCTAGCCTGGCCCTCTTTTTGCTGGCCAGAGAAGTATGAGTTGGCGCTCCATTGGGGGCCTGGTGTGGCAGTCTCGGGATTGAAGGGAAGGTTGCTCGTCTTCTCGGTGGTAGACTCGTCGAAGTAGGCAGTTTTGCCGGAGAGATGTACACCGGGTGTGACGGGCACGTTGGTAATTGCGGGGTTTAGTGCGGGATGTGTGCTGTCTTGGGAGTCGAGCGGAGGCCTCTGGGGCTTCTCATCTGTGGGAGGGGCCATGGTGGATGTAAGCGTAGGCGGTGCTCTGCATGGAACTGTCAGGTACTTGTAGGCGAGAAGATGAGAGGTGGGAGGATGATAGGTGAGGAATATGCCGAGCGGTGGACAGGCAGTGCAATGTTTACGTGCATGCAGTGGTGAGGCGCGACTAAAAATAATTATGAAATGTGAATTACCTGGTGCTTGCGTCGCTGTCTTGGACGAGTCTCACAGGAAAGAGCTCCGCAATGGGTCTGGGCTGGGGCTGTCACGGAACGAGGGGAATTTAGAGGTCTCAAACGAAGGGTGGTGTGAGAAGGATGTCAGAGAGAAGACACCACGTGTGTCGAGAAGCTCACAGAAGGTCGACGAGTGTAATGAGGGAAGAAAAGCTGGCCGTGGTGGGATGGTTCAACGCCCCACTAACATAGCTGTGACGTTGGAGCCGACCAGCTCGGGCCTTACTGTCTCTGCTGCAAGCAAGGCATCGCACCATTACCGACTTCTCGAGCCTGCACGCGCTCCGCTCGCTGACCGCTCTGCGAAGTTTTGTTGGGCGTGTCAATATGATGTCAGGCAGCTTTCATATCGGACGAGGGTGTGGGCCGGCGCAAGTGCTGCAAGTGGACCGACGACGGAGACGCCTTGGGGCCTCTGCAGTGCCTGTGGGGTATTGGGGGCAATCTGGCCGCTTTCACAAATGTCCTCCGTATATCATGCGACATGGCAGACGCAGGGCTAGCAATAAACGTGTCCAACGGCCGGGTGCATACGAGAGCGACTGGTAATGCAGCATGCCCGCGGGAGTGCCTGGCATCCTCCGCCATCGACTCGACGGCCCAAAGCGGACTAGATGCTTGGCATGGTGCACGCGAAGATGCATGCAGAAGATTCGTGTAGAGTGAGCACAACCACCACCTTGCCCCATTGCGAGTCGTCGTTATCTCCCCGGGCCTAATGCAACTCTCGAGCACCCGGCTGATATGTCGCGCCCATAACCGCTTCAGTCCGTCCATTGCGCTATGGCAGCACTTTGTCCAACCTGGCTCGCCAGGACCCCGCGACCGGCGCCAACTTTCTACTGCGACAGAAGCTGCACAAGATGGCGCGAATTCAAGTAGCAAGGGTGACAATACTCATGCTCGCGATGCCCAAGCTAGCGAAGTAGCCACCGAAAATGCGGCAGAAAAGCAGAGCGCAGAGGCAAAGGCAGAGCCATTGCCCGTGAGGAGAATGACCACGGTCAAAGGGCGCTGGCTGTCCAGCAAGGTCGAGGTTTCGATCGCTAAAAACAAACACCTGAAGCGGACAGTACCTACTGCCCCGAACGTCGAGTCCCAGGATCAGCTTGTGATTGCCAAAGACGCGTTCGCAAAATCGCAAGACTACGAGGGCGTCGTTGTGCGGCCCATTGTGGTCGGGAAGGTCAGAGAAAGCACGCTTCCATGGTGTGTGAACATGGAGGGAGAGCCAACAATGACAGGCATGGATCGGTACACCCCCAAGCCATCCTCACTCGTAATGTCATGCTAAGTCGAGGTCCAGTCTGCATTCAGAAATCGAGAGATTCTACAAATACACACAACCCGATCGATACGAAACGGCCGCGCGGAAGCACCTCATCGAACAGGTGCAGAGACAGGTTAAACAGTTCCTTCCGAAATACAACATCGAGGTGTTTGGCTCTGAGCGGACTGGCATAGCTATGCCTCTGTCAGACATAGACTTCAGGCTGGTATTAAAGTCGCAACCGTCGGACCCCGCGCAGGTACCAAAATTCCCGCCAGATACGAAAGAGCGGAAAAAGGGAACACGTCTTCTGAATAATTTATATTGGAGGGTATTCAATAAGAACGGAGCGTACCTACTGGCCGCGATTCGTCACGCGCGCTATCCTCTCGTCGCCGCGCAGGACCGCAAATCGGGTTTGGATGTGCAGGTTGTGCTCTCAAACGATACATCCATCTCGAGGGTCACCATGCAGGAGTACATGGAAAAGATACCCTACCTGCGAGAGCTGTACTGGGTAGTCAAGACCATGTTCGATACACGCGGCTTGTCAGACGTATTCCGCGGCGGTTTTGGCTCCTACTCGCTCTTCATGATGCTCGTCGCCAGCATAAAGCATGCACCAAAGCCACCACAAGACTCTGCGCGTGCCCTTCTCCACTTCCTCGACTTCTGGGGCAACTTCGACACGACGAAGCACGGTGTGTCTATCGAACCTGCTTACCTCTTCGATAAGGCGAAACACCCTGTCCTCACGGATACGCAGAGGGCCCAGCTACAGGTATGTACCCACTCATCACCCTCTTTACATCTTGCATCATGCTAACCACCACACAGAGCGGAGAAACCAAACCCCTCCCCTCGTACATGCTCTCCCTCCGCGACCCCGCCGACGAAACCAACGACCTTGGCCGCAAAGGCATAGCCATCAAGCACGTCCAAGCCACCTTCCGCGATCTCCACAAGAACCTCCTCCTCGACATCAAATTCAACAAGCGAGCCTCCATACTTTGCCCTCTCGTAGGCCCATCCTACATGCTGCAACTCGAGCGTCGCAGGAAACTACAAAACTACGGTCGCGAGTGGGTGGAGAGGGAACAAAAGGACCTTGCTCAATTGGCAAAGGAGGTTAGAGAGGGTGGATGGCAAGGTGTAGTAGACGCAGTAGACGAAGAGGTGCTGAAGGACTCTGTGGAGGAGGATGTGGAGGAGAATACACTGAAGATGATGGAAGAGGAAGAGGCTAGGCTGCGATTAGCCAAGGAAGAGCGAGATAGGGAGTGGAAGAGGCTGGCCGAGGAGAAGACTCGGCGGTTGAAGGAAGAAGCGCAGAATACGTCGATACTAGACCATGGTGATACCATGTCTTCGATCCTGGGTACGGGTACGCTGGCGGTGGAGGATCCGCAGACAAGTAAAGATAGTGTAGACGGACAAGGCGACGAGGCGAAGAAGGCCTAGTCGCTTACCAATGTTGTAAAATATCATCACGTGCAATCTTCACAGTAATCACAAACAAGCACGCAACTCAAGTCGAACATCAGAGAAGAAATCGAGCCTGTTGTGGTAAGAGTGATAATAGCCAGATGCTATGAACCCCAGTCCAGCATGCATGCCGTAGTACAAGTGTAAAACCCCCCATCAGTCACTACCCATGAAAGTCTGCCCCTAACCGTCATCCTAGCCTCCCTTTCGCAGATGCTAACGACAAAAGACACGCTCTCCGCCGCACCCAGTCTTGACGCTCCTTTGTTGCGCTTCGAGAGCCTAGATGGCGTACTTTCGGGTCCACTCGCGCGCCGTCGATTCGTAGCGGGACCGGTCGGTCTTGTAGACGTGTGCGATCTCGGGGACGAGCGGGTCGTCAGGGTTTGGGTCTGTCAGCATCGAGCAGATACTCAGCAGCACTGTGATTTTTGTTAGTATGTATTCTGCTCGACGTAGGGGACTCGGGTAACGCACCCTTTGAGATGGTCAGAGCAGGGCTCCATTGGTCTCGCAGAATGTCCAAGCAGATGCTGCCGTTGGAGTTGATGTTGGGGTGGTAGATGCGGGTGGTGAAGTTGACCTTCGGGGGCTTGAAGGGGTAGTCGGTTGGGAAGTGGATTGCTAGGAAGAAGACACCGCCGGAATATGGTGAATCGCCGGGACCCATGATGGTTGCTTGCCAGTGGAACTGCGTGTTGTTAGTGTCGTGTCCAGTGTGATTTATCGTTCGCCCAGCCGCGTGGCTGTCTTGCAGAAGAGTGACGTACCAGATCATCTCCGATGGGGCCAGCTGAACAGGAAGAGGGAGGGTCACTAGGGGCATCATGTCAGCAAAATGTTCTTCCCGTCATATTCTCGCAGGGTGACGGCGTCGCGGCCTTGCTTGAGGGCCCCGCATGCGGTCGTGGCCGTGCAAGCAAAACAGCGAGCCTCGCCGCCAGCCACGAGGGCCGGGAGATGGGTCACGTACCGGCCGAGATCGGTCAACTCCTTGTTGATGCGCTTGAGAGCCATGGCTGCGGTGTGTGTGTGTGGTGTGTGGAGTGGTGGTGACGGGTATCGCGGGTGTCGGGGTCGAGCGAGTTGGTGTTGAAGAGTTGAAGTGGGATGTCTGCGCAGGCAAGGCGGTTAGTTAGCGGCGGGGATCCAAAGAAAGCAAGTGCGGCGTGTCAGCGCGGGAACCTCATCCGCCACTCTTTAACTCACTCACCTCTGACTCTATGTGAGGACAAAGACGGTCACGCTGTACGAGCACGATGTTCTGCACGATGGGGCTGCAGCAGGGGCGTTTGTATTTATCATGTGTGAGGAGCCAACCGCACGAGGCGAGACAAGCTGACCGCCCAACTGTCGCTGCCCACATTTCCACCGAGCGTTTCTACCCAGCAACCGCGCTGGGTGGCAACCTATCGAAGCCTGGAGAAGATGCCTCAAGGCTGACATGGACATTCACGCTGCTTCTGACCTCACTTAGTCACCACGCATTGGGCGGTAGCGAGGCCTTTACTCGGGTGGCGAACGGCACTGTGGGTACGAGCAATCAGATGTGATACTTGCCGCGTTCGAGGCAAGAGTCGCCGGGTTTGATATGCATTTACTTCTAAATAAACATTGCCTGCATGCGTACCACCGCTAGGCGCCTACAGCTGACATGTTGCTCGTGATTGGGTGCGCTTCTACGTATTCTTGTTGGTAGTACAGCAACAACCCGAGTATATTTCACCATTAGCAGAATGCTTGAAGACCTGTGATTGCACGACCGAGGATCAAAGCTGATGCAGGTTAGTCAGAGTCGAGACACGTTTCGATTGTACTCACAGTGGATGTCGCTCTGGCCCTCATATGTCTGCGTCACAAACAAGTTGGCGACATGTCTTCCGATCCCGTACTCGTCGGATACTGCGTTTCCGCCAAACACTTCTTGCAGTCTGCTCACAGTCAGTACATGTCGAACAAGCGATTGGTGCTACTTACGTTCGCGCGTTGATCAAAGCCCGGTCACAGTTCTGTCTCTTGATCATAGAGATCATCTCAGGTGCAGCTTTGCCCTCGTCCTTGAGCCTTCCGACTTGGTGGGCGGCCAGGATACCGTATGCAGCATCCGTCGTCGCGTCAGCTAGCTTCTTCTGCACGAGCTGGTACTTGGCAATCGGATTGTTCTTGAACTGCTTTCTCTCGAGTGCGTACTCCCGGGTTCTTGCAATGCAGTCCTCGAGAGCACCGATAGTACCCCAGGCAATGCCATATCTGGCCGAGTTGAGACAGCTGAAGGGTCCCTTCAAACCCTCAACCTCTGGAAACATGTTTGCTTCGGACACGGGACACTCATCAAGCTGGATCATGCCGGTAATGGACGCCCGCAGACCGTTCTTGTGCTTGATTGGCGGGGTCTCGAGAGTACCCGGTGGACATTGGTCGCGCTCAATGACAAAGCCACGGATCTTGCCAGTCTCTTGCAGCTTCGCCCAGACAAGGAGAACATCGGCAATGGGCGAGTTTGTGATCCACGTCTTTGATCCAGACAGTGAGTAGTAGCCCTTCTTGGTCGGATGCGGCTTAGCAGTCGTCTCCAGAGAGCCTGGATCGGATCCGTGGTTTGGCTCAGTCAGACCAAAGCAGCCCAGCAGTTGACCCTTGGCCATCTTGGGTAGGAGGCGCTCCTTCAGTTCTTCAGATCCAAACTCCTCGATACCTCCCATGGCCAGTGAGCTTTGGACCGAGTAGCCGGAACGATATCCAGAATCGACTCTCTCCACAGCTCTGGTGATCAGACCTGCGGCAACACTGCTGACTCCGGCACACTCATAGCCCTGAATGCTTGCACCCAGTAGCCCTAATTCGCCCATTTCCGTGATGATCTTCCTATCAAAGTCCTCATTGCGGTATGCATCTGTAACACGTCAGCTAGCTTTAGACTCCCCACAACGGTACATGTACCTAGCACTCTCGGGAGCATGCGCTCTTGGCAATATGACTCTGCTGTCTCCGAGATGGCTTGCTCTTCCTCTGTGAACAAGTTGCTTGTATTCAATGGATCTTGCCAGTCAAACTTGACGGGAGCATGTAGGTACCGCTTGCCGAGGGCCGCAGACCGGAGTGGGGTGCGCAATTGCCTGGTGGCATGTCTGTAGGTTGGTCGCAGCATTTTGGAGTCGTAATCAGGAATGTGGAAAGTGTCTCAGCTACACAAAAGTGACAGTTATACCCGGGTTCTCACGAGAATCTGCGTAATTGGATGAAGTTGGCCTCGGAAGTCCCACCGTTGAAAGAACCGCGGCAGGCGGTTCGGAAGCACTCCGCGGTGGCAAGAAAGCTAGCATCATCACTCCAGACACGCGGCAATTGAAGGATTTGGCGGGATCACGAGTTGCAGATAGCAGATCCGAGATGCAACGCCTGGAACGCATGCAGAGCCTCACTAAGCGATGACAGGCAAATGTGGGGTATCAATGCCAAGAAATGTAGACCGTGATTGCGCGCGGTGAGACGCGAACGCGTCGTGACGATCGTTGGCGTCACTTTCTCCAGCCACCACGCAGTCGTCTACGCTTCTGCACACAACACTCTGGGCCAACAGCACCTCAAACCTATCTGATTAATACAACTGCCAGAGGAATCCAGTCGCCATGGGTATCAAACACCTGTACCAGCTCATTGAGGAGCATGCGCCAGAGGCCGTCAAGAAGGGCGAGATCAAGAACCAGTTTGGACGCAAAGTCGCCATAGTACGTCTGCTATCGTCTCACCTACACCGTCAATTACTAACATACTCAGGATGCGTATGCGTATTCTAACCCCTCTATGGCTCTCCAATCTAATACTGTGTAGATCTATGAGCATCTACAGTTTCCTCATCGCAGTCCGCTCCGATGGCCAGCAGCTCATGAGCGAGACTGGCGAAACCACATCACATCTCATGGGTCTCTTCTACCGCACAATGCGCATGGTCGACAACGGCATCAAGCCTCTTTACGTCTTCGATGGCGCTCCACCCAAGCTCAAGTCCGGCGAGCTCGCCAAGCGTTTCCAGCGCAAGACAGAGGCACACGCGGCGGCTGAAGAGGCGAAGGAGACCGGTACAGCAGAGGACGTTGAGAAGTTCTCGCGGCGGACGGTCAGGGTTACGAGGGAGCACAACGAGGAGTGCCAGCGCTTGCTCAAGCTCATGGGCATCCCCTACATTGTCGCACCGACCGAGGCTGAAGCTCAGTGTGCTACGTTGGCGAGAGGAGGCAAGGTGTACGCCGCTGCTTCAGAGGACATGGACACGCTTACTTTCGATTCACCCATCCTGCTGCGACACTTGACCTTCAGCGAGCAGCGCAAAGAGCCCATTCTGGAAATCCACCTGGACAAGGTGCTCGAAGGCCTGAACATGGAGCGGAAACAGGTACAAGTCAAGACCTACCTCCAACCTATCATCTACTAACCACTGTCAGTTCATCGACCTCTGTATCCTCCTCGGCTGCGATTACCTCGACCCCATCAAAGGCATCGGCCCAAGCACCGCCCTCAAGCTCATCCGCGAGCATACCGACCTCGAAGGCGTCGTCGAACACATCAAGTCCCAATCCTCCAAGAAGCTCACCATCCCCGACGACTGGCCGTTTGCCGATGCGCGCCTCCTCTTCCTCGAGCCCGACGTGCGCCCCGCCGACGACCCAGAATGCGACTTCAAGTGGGAAGCCCCAGATGTAGAAGGCCTCGTCAAGTTCCTGGTCGAAGAGAAGCACTTCAACGAAGACAGGGTGCGCAACGGAGCAGCCAAGCTACAGAAGAACATGAAGACAGCGCAGCAGAGTAGGCTGGAGGGCTTCTTCAAGCCGATTGAGAAGACTGCTGAGGAGAAGGCTAGTCTCAAGCGCAAGGCAGAGGAGAAGCTCGAGGAAAAGAAGAAAAAGCAAAAGGCTGATGCGAAGGCTAAGAAGCAGGCCAAGGCCAAGCCGAGGACTGCTGGTTAGAAAGGTGATGTGAGACGGGGAGGGGGCATCGGGGTTTGCGCGAAAAGGGCGTTTATGGGATAGTGATACCGGTGGGCTTACGGCGTTTGCAAGGCATATGATAAGTATGTGGTTCGTTATACCATATCTACATCATAGTATCTCGACAAGTAGCTTCGTTCTATATGAAACCAAAGGAATTTAACCATATTGTCAAATGCATAATCCCTAATTCACACGACTGAGTGCCTGCTTATCGTTTGGCCTGGTATCTACTTTTTTTTTCCTCGTACAGTGTATGCAGGTTCATGTCCCAGTATACACCTCAATATTGTATTGGGCATCTACCCTCACCTCGTCTCATACTGTGTCCACATCTGCGAGCCTATGGTTTATTTCGATTCTCCAAGGAGAACATTCAAAGAGCCTAATTCGACAATTCCACAAATTCCATCGGGACGGAGAGGTATGAACAATCTAAAGAGTTCTGTTTTCCCATCAGCGAGGTCCCTAAATTGATTACACCCCTTCAACCTTTCCATGACTGACCGCAAGGATGCGCAACATATTGTCAACAAATCCAATATATCTCATTACGATATCCAGAACCATAGATTTCGCCTACTTTCACCAAGTTTACCTCTGACATCACTCCCAATACCCGCCATCATGTTCCTACTACTACTGCACATCACACCAAACCTACACCCATCACCATCGTCATCACAAGACGGAATGCAAGTAACCCGGCGAACCGAACTCTATATCTCCAACGTCTCCTACCAAACTATCACAACACGCTACCCTAGCGGCGCAACTGCCCGGGCAAGAACGACTAGCAATCTCATCACTCACCATCCGAATTCATCACATTCGATGCTCTATGTGCGCCAAAAAGTGAGATGGCAAATACCACCCCTTCCCTTCTCATCCCAGCAAACTCAACAGATAATAAAACCGTAACAATAGTCCCCCGGGCCCCAACGGAACCATCCATCCACCCATCCTATCCTCGTAACGAGTCACGCCCGTCACGAAACACGCTTCCTGAAACGATAAAGGAACGGGCGAACGACAACGCGGAACTTACCTACCATGACATGGCCGCATCCATCCAGGGTCCAGCAGTTCAGCACTTACCTGTCCTTGTTCATCCGGCTTATCCCACCTTCGCCCACGACCACGCAAGCGCACGCACTACCACATCCAACCTAGACCAACTAGCAGTCGTTGAAGTCGTTGAACCGGCCAAATGAACCACTCAACCTTAATTCCCTTCCCTTACAACCTTCCAAGCAACGTTGGTTTGGTTCGAAACAAGCGGGAAAACTTCGGTACCAGGTTATTTTCTCAAGGTACCATCGAACATTGAAAAGGCGAAACGAGGCGTAGGAGCTAGAATGTTCAGGTGGGGGATGGTTACGTTCTGACGCTGGCGTTTACGTTGGCGTCCACGGATGTGACATGACATCTGACTGACTGACGGATGGATAGACGGATGGATAGAGCAGAAAAGAGTTCACGCCAGTGCTGTTTGCAGCGGCCGCGCCAACGTTGACACAATCCACGGATGCCTGCTTCTGCGCTATTGACGGATGCATCCGCGTTAGAGTGGTTCATAGTTGCGTTTGTTAAGGGAGTAGACTGGTCGGTCGGCTGGCCTGCCTGATGTTGTTCGGTTGCAACGGGAGCCGCGGAGAGTCTTTGGGAGAACAGGTTTTTGGCTTGGTCTTTGTTCATTGGTATGCATGTCCACGGGTAAGTGAGTAGGTATGAAAGATGTTCACGGACTACATTGCGCTAGCACAAAACGAGCCAATTTCTAGCCCATCTACTCCTCCCTCACAATCAGATAAAGAACGCATCAAACGTAACCAACTCAGCACATCAGCGATGCCTCTCCCACGGAAAACCCACGGCAGGTATAGCGCAAGCCGAACGCAACCCTAACGAACCGACTAGCCGCGAAAAATCGCGCCACGTTATCGCGCCACTTAGAGTTTCCAAGGGTCCAGGGTCTTGCACGACAGCGTCGTTGGTGGTTTGGTCGAAAGGCAAGAACATGTTGATTGATCGACACATGCGCGAACGCGGGTCCCGGACGAACTTCCCCACAGACAACGTTTCAGTTGCTGCATGCTGCGAATGTGTGGATCTACACCGGCCGGTGAATATACTCGCGTGGCATGTACATTAGCACTTATCATGTGAAATGATGCGCGTTTTTGGGACGCTGGAAAAGGGAAGGTTTGCTGTGCGGTAGGCGTGTTTCAAGGGTCCTTGGACAGGCTTTTTACTGCTTTGGGATGTGGGTATCTTTGGTATCTATTCATGTTCGCGGGTTTACTCATCGTTGTGTGTATTGCGTCCAGGGATATTACACAAGTCAGGCGAGTTGCCCAACGGGGTAATATGGCGTCGATCCGGCGAGAGTTGCGTGGTTGCTGGTGACAAGGGAAAGCGAGGTTGGGTTCTCATCCCTGCTGCTGCTCTTGCTGCTGCTTCGAACTCGTAGCACCAATGCGCATCATACCCAGTACGCTACTTTGCGACTGGTGCGCTAGCTTCAGCGGCGAATAGCGAGACTCTGGGAGGCGGCGCCCGGCTTTGATGCTGTCTAGAACCCTGTTCAGCGTGTCAGTCAGTCAATATCCTAAACATTGTCTTGACAGAGGGCATGTATATGTTGTGCATAAACCCAATCACATGCGCAATCGCGTGTGAAACAGCTGGACAAGCTGTGACGGGCGGGAGATGCGCAAGCCCAAAGGCTTACTTTGCTGGCGACTTACCATTCCGCATTGATGAACTTGACAGCCTTGCCACCTGAACGAGTAATCTCCTTCTGCATCTTGCTTGCTGCTAGGCCGCCGCCTGCACCACCCCCACTGCCAATGCAGTTTACTCGACCAAGTATGACGTGCGTTACGGTTCGGCGGCCGAGCGATATCGAATGGCTAGCGCCATGGGCAGCGCAGAGCTGCTTGAGCTTGTGGTCTGAGACTAGAGGGGCGGTGGAGCCGTTGAGATAGAAACAGAGGCCGGTGAAGATCTGCTTTTCGGAAGGTTTTGACGAGGCTGAGGAGACGTCGCTCTGGGGATGCGTGTCTGAGTCTGTCCCCATGTCTGGCGCATGCTTAGAGACAGTCGCAATACCGTCGTCTTTCTCCTGTGATGGCTTCCTGCTGCTGCCGGCCTTGCTGGCAGCCCATACCTCGGCCAGGCTCTTCTGTCCACCGGTCCTCAGACCCTTTGCGCCCTTCTCCCAGCTGCCGTTGTCCTTGCGGCCATCCTTGCCAAAGTCCTCACTCCCTGCACCCACCGTATCCGCGACTCTCTTGCCACCGCCTCTGCCTGCCCTGAACTGCTCGCCCAGCTTGAGGCTCCGTGAGGCGCGCCATGAAGTGGAGCCTCCGAGGCGGTTCTCCGCGCGCTGATGGCCGGTACTGGAGCTGTTCCAGGGGTCGAAGAAGGTGCGTCTGGGCGGTGCGGCGGCGACGGGGGACGTCAGACGGGGACGCGTCGCGGATGAGGCTGCTTCAGGCGCGTCTGACGCGTGCGCAGGTGACGGGCGGTCGGTATGGCGGGCGTCGTCAGAAGTCGGGTCCGCGTTCGGGATGCGTGTTGCCATATCGGGTGCTGATCTTGCGTCGACGGTTAGCTTCGGGGCCCTTCCAAGCCGGGGGGATGTGATGCGAGTGCATTCTCGCCTGCCCGCCGAAAATGCACGTGAAGGATTCCACGTCCTGTCCAGTGTCCACTGGCGTTGCAACGGGCACCCGAACCCGGGCTGCATGCGGCAAGGCGTGGCGGGGGCGACTTACCCTGTTGTTGTTGTGCGTGCAGACGCATGTGGGAACAGCTGCGGGCTCAGTGGGCAGTGTGATTAAAAACAAAGTTTACGTACGCCAGGGTCCTGAGTCGAGTTCCATTGATTTTGCAAAACAAACTTTGCTAATCCCATGCTGCGACGTCTACGCGAGCGCAAGGCAATCCTTTGCGTGAAACCATGAGGTTCAATACGGAAGGTCAGCAACGGCAGCCTCGTTCCTGCGCGGCCTCGCTCCTCACCTGAGGGCAGGGCCGCCAATAACACGAATGCGATACATGCGCCATGCTCAAACAAGCTGATTGTGATGTGTGTGTGTGTATTATCCATTACTCGTCCATGTCTGAGATGACACAATTACACTAAGTATCTCGGATATCGATGCGTGTTCCGCAGCAACGCAGTCGCGTGCCTTTTCGTATGTACAGCCGAAGAAAAGAAACATGCTTCCAAAAACAATTCGTTGTAGTACGCCATTTGCCATGCACCCTGTTTCCTGAACGCCATGCTTTATCCGTCATAGATCACATGAACTGAATGTACTAAAATGAAAATAGAAATTTTGACCCGCGAAGGTATTGCTTCTGACAACGCCCGCTAAGAAAGGTCATACAACTGACGACGGCAGCGAGACGTCGGGACATCTTCGCAGTGCCGGAAAAGAAAACAATGGGGTACTTTAATAAAACGACTCGGAACGCCTGCATGCTTTTGCGGCGATGGCAGGTCTCCATGTTGTCTAGGCATCGCGTTGCCCATCGGTCCGAATAGCGCGGTATGAGCCGTGGAGTCGTGAGCGCATGTGAACATACTACATTGACTCGTGGTGATACGAGTCGTCGTAAAGTCGTAAAGGCCGTCGTGGACAGCTGCTCCGCCGTCTACGCATGGGCGTGGGTGCTCTTGCTGACCGAGGCCTCGTATATTGCGCGGTGCTTCTTCATCTCGTCGGCGTCGAATGCCAGAGCATCGCTGCCCTTTCTGCTAGCCAATGACGCCGAGCTGCCGTTGCCGAACTTGAGGCTGGCGAGCGATCGGGCCTTTTTGAGCGACTTCTTTCCAGCATTCGCACCTGTCTGGGGAATGTGGTCAGCGGCGGCCCGCTGATTGAATTGCGTTATCTCTTCGACTTCGGGCCGGGGCTTGACTCGCATGCGCTTGAACTCGCGAGTAATCCTCTCAAGCTTGCTGAGACCCTTGATGGACGGGGTGTAGCTGAGCATGGGCTCGGGCGACTGCCTCTCGTGCACGCTAGATTGTACGCTGGGCCGGCGCTCGGAACCAAAACTGACACCGGAGTCATGCTTCTTCTCTTTGCCAGGTCCGTTCATGTAGCGATCAAACGACTCTGGGCCGTGAGTAGCGATGCAGTCTTGAATCATGTTCTGCGCGACGCGAAGGTACTTGTCGACGATCCTCTGGACGGTGGGCCAGCCAGTCTGATCTTCTGGGCGCTTGTCCCGGTTGATGAGAGGAAGTAGGACATCAGGTCCCCTCCTCTGCACCTGGCTGATCAGCTCGAAGAAGATCTGGCGTTCTTCTTTCAAAGCCTCGTGGTTCAGGAACTGCGAGGGAAGCTTGGTCTGGGCGTGAACAGGAGGAAAGAGGGTGTTGAGGTAGCTAATGCAGTTGAGCTTGTTGAACTCTTCGTCAGAGAGATGGTTGATCATGATCTGCTTCATGTTAGTTGAGATCACGTGAGAAAGAAGACAGACAACATACCCATCGGCGGAGCCCGACCCATAGCTGAGCGTAGTACGACTCAGCTTTCCGGTTCTTGCCTTCGAGGTTGTTGATCCAGAGTGCGATGCCAGGTGCCTTTTCAGCGACACGGGCCATGTCGGCGTCCCATGTGTCCCTGTGGACGTCGAGGGCCTCGAACGTGGTAGCCATCTCTCTGCGTCGTCGTGTCTCCAAATCTTTCAGGTAGTCGAGCGCAGTCAAAGCTTGGCTCCAGTCGACATCAGCGGGCTCGGGCATGAAGGTGCGGGTCACAAAGTTTACGATGAAGGCGGGTGGCAGTGCGCTGGTCCGTGTGGGTAACGCTTTGAGCTGGTTCATCAACGACGAGGTGAAGCTCATGGTCGCAGCTTCTGTGGTGTTCCATGCGAATGAGCTGGAAATTGGTGATGTGTTGCCAGACTTGGTGTAGTTCTTGGGGATGGGTTGGGCGCGGTCCACGCGGTTGAGCTCGTACATGGTCTTGAGGGGGATGTCGTAGCTGCCAGGGTACTGTAATACGTGTTCGAGAATGTATGCCATTGAGTTGTGGTTCTCGTCCGACGCGCTCCGGGAATGATTTGATGCCATTTTGAAGAGCACGTGAAAGGTGTGGCGTGTGGATGCGAAGGGTCCCGGCGATGGCGCAGCGCTAGAGTTGCGCGTATCGCAGAAAAGCAAAGAGCGGAATGCGATCCCCGAGAAGCGAAAGCGAGGTTAGAGTTGAGGGTGTTGACGAGGAGAAAAGGCGGCCCGGGGGAGATGGGCTAGCGGGCGGCGCGTGGGGTTTGGTGGGGTGGTCGTAGCTTTGACGAGAAGAAAGGAAGGCGCGACCGGAGAGGCAGGATATCAAGCACGGCAGACAGTGCGGACGTGCAGGCAGATGGTGATACGGCTCTGGTGAATCCACGTCGAGTCGCTCCAGGCAAGGTTGATGGTGGAATGTCCAGTGTGGTCGGCGTTGCAGTGTGCGACGGGGCAGGCGGTTATGAGCACGGTAAGCAAAAAAGAAGGACAAACACAGCGGTGCAGGGTCAAGTGGCAGTGGTGGTGTAGGACGGGGTTATGAGGAGCAGACGATCGCAGAGGGCTGGAACGGGCAGACGTCGGGTAGGTATACAGAAAGGGTTTTGCGTTTGCTCTAGTCAACGCTTCTTCTCATGATCCCTGAGCGAGGGCCCGTGATGGTCGCTTTTGCACTTGCATGAGTGGCGTCAGTGACAGGGGCTTCCAGCTTCCCCGAGAACCACGACCAAGACGGCCTAGCCATCTCACGGCAACGCCTTTCAGCTCGAGTGCGTCAGGCCTGCTGCCGACCCCGCCCCGAGTCAGGCACAGCTGGCACAGTTGCTCCCAATCGTCGCCTCGCGCTATGCTCACAGTCGCGCTGGTACGACGTGCATCTCCGGCCGTCCCCTGAGGACCCTGAGACGTCACTCTCAGGGCGCCAACAGCAGTACCATGGTCGAACCAAAACATGGAGAAGCACCAGAGCACAGGCTGATCCTGGCCGCAAAGGGTCCGCCGCTGTCGACATTCCGAGGTCTGCTCTGGTGGCTTCTGAATCGTGCTGCGTCTGCCCAACCGCACGCGAACTCTGCGCCGCCCTAACTCAATTCACCGACGATGCAGTCTCCACTTGGGACTCGACCGCATCATCCTGGGTGCCGATGCATGTCCCCTCGAGAGCACTTGGACCTTGCAGAATGCACATGCACATGCAACCCCATTTTCGATTCTTCCGCACTACCAATAAGGACGCCGCCGTAGCTGCAACTGTCAGAGGACAGGGTTGGGCCTGCATCGGCATTTTGACTTCGCAGTGCAAAACCCAACCTTCAGGCACAGAAACATGGCAAAGTTGGATATTCACGAACCTAACCCAAATCCTCATGATCCGCGTCATCTCGACAATATTGTGGCAATGTGTAGCGATGAGGATGCGGCGCGGCAGGCCCGTTGACGATGAAACCTCTGAACTTGGCTCTTGTAGCCTAGATTCACGACTCGTATCCTTGAGCTCGCACATTCGCAAACGCGATGTACATTGCAGACTCGGAGCTGCAGCCATGCGAACTTATCACCGCCCACGGCCCCTGCCCCCGTTGTGCAAGCCTGCAGCCGAGTGGGGTGTTTGCAGCTCCGATAAAAGATTGCTCATATCACAAAAAGCATCATAACAGCGCCTGCTATCGCATGTCAACAAACAACGCGACGCGCTTGTCATGTCAAAATCTTGCTTCCGCACACTATGATTTAGGAGATGGGTGGAAATCTCGCCCGCTGCCGTCGGACAGATTCCGATGCATGTGATTGAGGCTCCTCGAGTATACATGTACCTAAGGTACCAACAAGTGCAGACTGCATGCTCATGGCCTTGGGCCGCGGTGCAGCAGCATGTACGCGTTCGAGATCGGACTCGTAAAGGTAACGCAAAGGATCGTCCTGACTCCTAGCAGTCTTGTGTACTAGCATCAGTGCTCCTCCTCGCTTGCAGACCACACACTGCGAGGCCGAGGGCAACCCCATCGTTACACGAGCCGAGATTACTCATTTCATCGATCGAAGCTGTGCGATCGTACTGCACATCGCCAGATTGACGAGCTGTTGGTCCCTTTGCGCTGACCTTTGACGCCATACCGTCTGACAATCTCCTCACAGGCCACTCAGCCGCGGGTACAAACGCCGGTGGTTCTCCTCAACAACCCACAGCCGCGCAGGAACAAACGCAGCTAGCACAACGATGCCAGGATGCATTTGTACGAATCGATAAAGACCGTTGAAAATAATCTCCGCGTCGATCTGCTCGCACCTGGGCAGACCGTGGCCAGCATCCCATCCCCCGTTTAGTCTCCACACCTAACGTTGCAGTGTCTTATTCGTTGCGGCCCAAAATTGCTTCCCCTTTGGGAAGCAACACCATCGTTGCAACAACATTCATGCGCATTGAAGATCGACTTCACGCCGCCACGCACACGGGGGGCAGCTGAAGCAAACAGGGTGTGGAATTTCAAATCAGTCCCTTGCTATAGGCAGCCATGTTGTCATGCCTTCTCCTGGTGGCGTAGTCGGCCTCTGATCTGGAATCGAAGATGCAAGCCACTCTGGTGTTGTCAAGTTTGGTTCAACTGCAACACTCTGCGATGATCTGATCAGGTTTCCTGCGGATGTTTCCACTCTCGCTGTTCTCCGTGACACGGTCGTCGCGCGGACAGCTAGTGCGTAGTCGCCGAGGGAAGTACCACAACTCAGCTTCCTCGTTGCCCCATGTGGCAACTTCAAACCTCCTGACATGACAGCTTGG